TAAGTCGGACAAGATGAAAGCAAAACAACAACAGAAGGTAATGTATGTAAGACAGATAACTCGCCGGCGATAGAGAAATAGCCCCTGTTATAGATCGCGGTGGCGATGACAACTCATATCGGCAACAATCATCTCAATATAGTAAAGGTCATATCCAGTAGCACTGAGATAGCCCACCAACAACTCCCCAAGTAACCCTAGTCAACTACTGTACAAGCTTTTATTTGAATTAACAGCTGATTGCCGTTGATCCAACGGCCTGATTTATGCGGATTGCATAGGTTCGCATTCGCGTCCATATCCAGATAGATACTAAAAGTGTTGAGATTAGTCGGCTGCTCCAAGTCGTATAGAAACAGAGACGCATCTTACAACCTTCCGCTGACGGCGAAGCTAAACAGTGCAAGATCTAGTTATCCTAGCCATACATTTTTTGACCGGGAAGATGTTTGCATATCCTTTGATTCGGTTGTCAGGACACAGGTTAGATAATGTAGCGAAAGTGACATGCGGCAAGGCAGGCCCAGTCAGGGCTATCGGCACGCCTAGCCCAAATAGGCCGTCATTGCCGCTCGGCACTATTGACATCCGTGATCCCCGAGACTATACAACCAGTGAATAACCTGGAATACGATGATAAAGTAGAGTTACTCCAAGGGAACCCCGGCATTTTCCCGCACTTTGCACAGGATCTTTCCAAACTTGTAGCTTTAGCACCGGTATAGTCATATCCTGCCATATGTGCAAACCAACGCCGCTGATAGGCCTAGACATGTCGACTCACTCACCGGGCCCTCTGTTCAGAGGAGGAAGTTCTCGATTCCAGAATGTCAGAGCTTCCTGCTCACGATCTCTGGCGGCATTCTGGATAACGCTATGGATGATCCTGCCATTTGTTCCTCCAGCATTGAAAACAAGGAGTTTGAGGTGAGTTTGTCGTTTCGCAGAAAACCCGAATTTTCGCTAGTTGATAGTTCCATCTGATTTAAAATGTGCATCCCAGTAGAAATAAAACTGAGTGATAGTCCTGGATGCGGCGTTTCCCAGATATTATATCAACCTGTCGCCAGGCGGCTTGAGGGTTGAATGCCGGATTTAGTCCCTTGTAGCTCGAAGTCTATTTCACAGACCACTTTGCTAGATACCGTGCTATCAATAATTTTATATTCACCAAAAAAATGTGAACTTAGTATTAGGACTTGTAAAAGAGCCACGGTACATGAGAAATTGTAGGCTGTCCTAGTGTTCAGAGTTCGAACGATGCAGATGCATCATATGCAAAACCTTCGAGCTCTCTTTCGATGAACTTCTGACATACTCTTATGATAATGCAGACGGTATTACAATCAGTATTAATCACGGGCTTGCAGAGAATAAGTGATAGCCCCATTAAGAACAAACAGCCAGAGCATCGGATTTGGCAAAGCTAATACTACTGTGTATGGCGATCTTCAATAACTTTGTGAAGGAAAGCTGCCGTTCACGGAACAAAACCTAAGGGACACTCGCCCTTTCAGTATGCCAGTTCCAACAACTGCACACGAAGGCCTTGCCTTAAGAGGCTGCGCTGGCCACCTGGCCATGGAATTCACCATAGCCAAACGGATCTTCCTTGCTTCCCAACAGCGTAATCGGATCCTTCATGGCGACATGACCACAGCTGGGGTGGCTAACTGAGTAGCCCAGTAAGGCCTGAACCTGCGGCTCATAGGTCCTAACCACATCCAAGTCGACTCCTAGGTATTGGTTTTCATCTGCCCGCAGGGAGCCCCGGGTCATGTGGCAGGAGTAGATGATGCGGCGCTCCGGGGGGCTCGTCCGGTTCTCGCCCGCCCCGTGCCATATGCTGCCAATGATAAACACCGCGTCGCCTTTGTTCATCTCGCAGGTAGAGCAGAGGGATCGATCCGCTGGGCCACAGATGGAGGCTTCGGGCCACTTGTGGGAGCCGACAATGACCTGAGTGGCGCCGTTGTCAAAGTTCGTGTCCTAAAAAGATGAAAGTGTCTTACATGAGCTGCGTGTTCTCTTTCTTGGCGGGGGAAGGTTCCGTCTGAAAGGAGGAGAGGATTCTGCCTACCACCCCTGCAACCAACAGCCCGAGAAGGGAGCTCTCTCCGCTTCCTTCCAAATGCTCGAAGTGCTGGGCCATGTCGTCTCGATGGAGCTGCTGGGCAGTTGAAGGAGAGCCGCGGTTGAAGGCCTCCGACACGGCCAAGACGGGGTATGAGACCGTGTGGTACCTTTTCCCATCGCGATATACATTTCTATGGTAGCGGTCAGCCCAAAAGGTAGAAGAGGAAGAAAAGCGGAACACTCACGATTCTTCCTTTAGTAGCGCTTTGGCGGTCTCGCGGAACGTGGGGTGGTTGATCGCTTGGTGGGCAAAGGTCGAAGACTTCCCTGCAAAACCGCTGAGGGGGGGATCCGCGGCATCGAAGAGTTTCCCAACATAGGTCCCGAGCTTCGACCAGTAGGGCTGCGCCTCGGCATGAATTTGGTCGATGGTTTCCGGACTTAGGAAGTTCTTGATGATGATGCCGCCGTCTCGTCGGATAATGCTGACGATGGCATCGATGGGGGCCGTGGCATCCAGCTCTACCACTTCGGGGTTTCCAGCTTGGTGAGGGGGGTTAGGCATACTGTATATTGGAATATACACAAAAGGTCAGCTCGTGTTGTAGGTCGTTGTAATTTGAAATACAGGAAGTTGTTGTTGTTGTTGTTGTTGTTGTTTGGATTATTTATGATTATTGGGTTGCAGATGTTCTGCAATACTTAGGGCGAAGCCGAAAATGGAAATCATAGCCTCGGCAATCGCGGTATGTTTACAGTATTGATAGGATGTCGTATGATACGGCAACGATTGCACATCTCCAAGTTCATCAATTTGACGTGACTGAAAGTAGTGCGTTTCCCACTACTTACCACTTTACAGCCAGTGCTAGAGGTGGGGCAATGACAGTCCCCGGCTATCACCACTCAATGTGGCTGTTCGTGGCGAATTCCGACTCATGGGCGACCCTACGCGCATAGGACAACCATTACCATCACAATCAGGACGGTCTGGAAATACTTAATCCTTCGTCTCACCTATCTTCTTTACCTATTCGCTTGTTCTAAATAACAACTAACTACACGAAACCCGTCCACTCTCGCACTTGCCCTGGTTTTCCACCGCCATGCCCGCCGCAGTCAAGCATTTCTCAGCCGGCGCTGCAGACCCACACATCATCCACCAATACCTCAAAGCCGACGGCGTGGTAATTGTGGAAGGTGCCACCACACGCGAGACCATCGATACCGTCCTGGAGGAAGTCGGCTCTGTCCCTAGTGGGCAGACCTATGCCCTAGCAGCCAAGAGTGCGACCTTCGCGACCCAGCTCCTGATGAATCCCCTCTACCTCGATCTCACCAGTCGAATCCTCACGGACGCGTGTATCATATACTATGAGCAGGAGCGGACGGTGTCGATTTCCGAGCCCCAGGTCTCGCAGACCTCGATTTTGTCTGCCCAGCCAAACAGCCTCCCCTGGGGCCTCCGCCGTCAAGACGAATGCCACCACATCTCCCACCCAGCCAAGCGCGAAGCCCAGCTCGGGATCATGTACGCCGCGCACGATCTCACCCGCGATAACGGTGCGGTGCGCGTGGTCATCGGGTCCAATCACTGGACCGACTCGCGGGACCCCAAGCCCGAGGACGAATATCTCGTCGAGTTGCGCAAAGGCGACGCTTTGTTCTGGTGAGTCCCCTGTCAATCTCTAAACCCCGGCCACAAACCATACCCTGCAACATTACCGAACTGACGAACCGACTCAGGCTGGGATCCACCTACTTCGGTCGCGCGGCCAACGCCACCGATCAGAATAGCGTGCTCTTGAGCGCGACTGCGACCGCGGGATACCGCCGCCAGGAGGAGAATCAATACCTCGCGGTGCCGTGGGAGGTGGTTGAGAGGTACCCGACGCCGGTGCAGCGATTCCTGGGTTATGCGGTGAGCCGACCGTACGGCGGGTCCGTCGAGCACATGGAGCCCTTGGACTTTATGAAGGTCAAGGGGGACTGGTCGAAATACGTCCCCGTAGATTTGATTTGAACTGTCATTTGGCCAGCCGTTGGTGAGGTATAAATGCCGGGAAAATCAGTGCTGTAATTGAGAAAGGCCTTCTCGAACGTCTGCAGTTATCATTTAGTCTGCATTAGCACATAGAACCGCCTCTTAGACGGTCATCTCAATGACAATGACCCAGTATGACGCCCAAACTATGGCAAATTGACACTTCCTACTCCACTACGTCATATTACGATGCATACGAAATCGAGTATAGGAAAGAAGAGCCTCAACGACAGCCCAATCGCTTTCGAGTTCTGATAGAATGACAAACCACAATTGCTGGGATGCGAGTCAATCACAGACAATGCATTCACTCGTGGTCTCAGCTGCCGCCTTCCAACGAGGCCAGACGGGTTAAGGTATGGGACGCATGGTAGAAACAAATCTAGGAAAATCCCTACGGCGGGCTTAGAAATATTCTCAAAGATAGCCTCGATGATAGTATGGAGTAGGCTGGCTAATTTCATAGTAACAAGCACAGGGATGTAGATAATATTTGTAGCTAAGATATAAGGCGCCAGTTGGTTTGATGAGTCTTGGTAAGTACTGGTACCTTAGGTCTCTCCGGGGTATAGTACTATGCGACTGATGAATAAAATTCTTGTCAAGATCACAGGCTTGGTATAGGTCCGGATAAGTGATGAGGAGCGTTATGACCAGGGCTATTTACAGTCCATACTAATTCACCAGTGTTCACCAGTGTTCAGCATAAAGCCCATTAGGTAGTCTATACCATGTATGATCCCAGGACAGGCTAAATCAGACAATGACTAGGTAGATTGGACTAGCCTACCGAATGCTGCAACTGCAGGGTTTACCGATTAGCGCCCGACAGGTAAAATATGTCCCCTTCCACTTGTGACTTCTCTTCTTTCCCACTTCATAGCATAGCATCTCCCCCTTTTCTTCTGTTCCTTAATTTTCCATTTCCCTGTTCTCTTATTAATTTTTTTTTAAAAAAAAAAAAAGAAAAGAAACAGTTAATTCAAATCTCATTTCTTTCATCATCAATCTCTGTTCAACCCTCTGAACGGCCAACGACAGACAGCTGAGCAGTCCGGAGAAACTTCATTCCTTTTACCTTTGGACTTTTCCTTCAGCATAATTCACGTTCGCTTTCTGGCTTGGACTGTGCTGATGACAGACTCCATTCTTGTCATGGGTAATACTACTCCAACTGATACTCTTGGCGTCTTCAAAGTGGACTTGATCTTCTCACGCAACAAGACCTACATCCCTCAGCCACTGCTGCCCATCGTGTTTGCGCTGCAGAATCCGCCGTTGGCCTCCACCTTAGCAGTTACCATCAGCTGGAACCTATAGGAAGATAATAACCGCAGTGCACCAGGCGACATCAACAGCGGAGAACTGGAGCTGTTAGTTTCAGAATCCGCGTCGACCGAGCCTCTCTCTGTCACCCGGTTTGTCAACACTCTCCCCTATCCGGACGGCTTCTGGAACTTTACCTGGAGCCTACAACTTTGTAATTGCTTGCAGTCTGAACGCTCATCATACCAATACATTTCAACGAACGATGCCACCATCTTCACGGTCAGCCAGTCAGAGCAGGACGCGAGCCTGCTCTTTCTGCTTTTTGTTTGTTCTCGCTTATTATCAAATGTATCTGACCAAGAGCGAGAAATTTGAGCCGCTCCCGTGCCCTATACCGGAGTACCCGATAACCACTGGGTAACATCCCGTACTGCTGGATCTTGCCCGGCCGTACTCGACATCACCTACTTTCTCACGGCCAGGGGATCTACATAAAAATACGTCGTGATGCCCGCTGAGATCGTAAATAATTCTTTGGTGAACAAGATTCCACCCTAGATCTGTCCGACCCTCGTTGATCAATCGGACTTTCGCTATTTAGACGACTCAGCTAGCTGTTGATAAGAGAAGGCCGTGCGAGAGATTCTTTCTTACAGTTGGATAGTTCAATTAAGACTTGCGTACATTTCAGTGAGTTCTTCCGCTCATAGTACCCTGGATACCCTCCAGATCACTGTATAGTCGCCATTCATAGTTCAAACTCGGATCGTTGAACCGGGCCGTGGCATCCAGTGTCGCAATCCGGTCCAAATCCTCTGGAGCCAAAGTAAAGTCCGACTCGATATTCTGCTCGACCTGCCAATCAATCACACTCTTGGGAATCACCGATCGACCGTGATTAATTCCCCAGGCTAGCACCACCTGGACCGCAGATGACGTGGAAGCGTGGATCGTGGGCCTGAAATGTGTTGGCGAGTGGCATGATGTCCGAATGAGGGCTTTTCGTTTCGTGGTGGTTGATGTTTCCTTAAGAAGCTGAGGGTGGGAAACTCACGCGAGTTGAACAGTTGAAGGAAAGCCCCGCGCGGGGTAAGGAACGCCTCGCTTCCTCGCCTCGAGGGCACTCGTTTCGTCTCGGGGCATGTCCGCTCCGGCGCATAACTTCTATCTCTTTGCGCACGCACAAAACATCATTCTCAGCTTCTGGCTTTCCTCCATTCCTCTTGCTCCTCTTGCTATCGTTTCATCATGACAATGGCCTGACGCGAGACCAACACGCATTACCGGATCCTTCGCAACGCCGAGGCTGGCAGCTATGGGGTAATTGCCGCGATCGCGTACAACATGGAGCAGATCCTGGGCCTTGTGCGGGCCGCGAAGACCGCCCGGTCGCTTTTAATCATCCAGTTCTTTCCCTGGGCAATTGAAGCCTCGGACGGGTTGCTGATACGTACCGCAGCGGATGCGGCCAAACGCGCGGGGGTGCCGATCAGCATCCATCTCGACCACGCGCAATCCGCGGCGATCATCCGACGGGCGGCACGCACTCTGCCGTTCGACAGCATCATGGTGGATATGTCCCATCACGAGTCCTACATTAACCTGCAGCGCACGCAGGAGCTGGTCGCATACTGTCACGAGCGCCACATCCTCACCGAGGCGGAACCCGGCCGCATCGATGGCGGAGAAGACGGCGTCATGGACCTGGCCGGACTGGAAGCCTGTATGACCACCCCGGACGAGGTCGAGGATTTCATTGCCACGGGGGTCGACGCCCTGGCGCCGGCCTTCGGCAATGTGCACGGGGAATATGGTCCCTTAGGTCCGCAGTTGGATTTCGACCGGTACGACGAATGATACCTCGTGCACTGCAAACCCCGATCGCTCGCGAGACTGATCATTTCTTCTGCTAGGCTTGGAAAGGTCCGAGAAAAAGTGAATGGACGGCTGGCGCTCGCGCTGCACGGCACCAACGGATTCGCGCCCGAGTTGATGCAGCGCTGCGTGGCGGCCGGCGTGGTCAAAATCAATGTCAACCGTCTGGTCCTGGAGGATTACTATACCCACCTCCACGCCAGCGTGGGTAAGATGCCCCATACTCAGCTGTTTGAGGAGGGGGTGCAGAAGGTTGCGGATCTGACGATGAAGTGGATGAAGATCTGCGGTTCGGCGGGGAGGGCTTAGTTGACCCATAAGACCCTGGCACTCTCAATCGAAAGAACCTCAATGCTACACTATAGATGCCGCGGTGATTTCACAGTACACGATGTTGTGAAGATTACTTAACCCTTCACCCTTCAGACTATCCGTTGAGGTATAACTCGACTGATTTCCCAATGGTGATGGTGGGGAGGTCGTCAGATGGTCTCTACAAAGACTATCGAGTCTCGTCGACAGTCGCGCGCTACTAACCGTGCAAACCAGAGGATTCCCCTGCCCAAGTCTGAAAACAGTCATGAGCGTTGCAAAGTAGTATGCTTCATGAGCAACCGCACGTGATTTCGTTTCTCTAACATGGGTTGGCACTCCAAATCGAATCGCACGTCATGGAAATCTTGAACATGATTGCGGGCCTATCCCCTGACATAAATCGCCGGAGGGATGCAGATGATGCCGCCAAATCCATGGACTCTTTTCTTGGTGCATTGGCGTATCAGGAGATGTACCACCGCTACGAGTCGCTGAACCCGAGATATAACCATACCCTCGAGTGGCTAGTGGATAAAACAAGCGACCTGTGCAAAGAAAACCAGCTCCGTTGTGAGACGAAGCAAGCTTATTACTTGGTTCAATAGCGGGGGCGGGATTTTCCGCGTCACGGACAAAGCCCGGCTCGGGCAAATCGACTCTCATGAAGTACCTCAGTGAATCCCAGCACTCTCGAAGGCATTTGAAAGCCTGGGCGGGCGGGAAGTGTCTTGTCATCGGGAGATTCTTTATCTCGGATAAACAAACTGACAAGGCCAATCTCTCTCAATGGCTCTATCGTGGCCTTCTGCATTCGATCGTTGAGGACTTACCAGTTCCTGATGCAGTGAGATTCATATCACTCCTCTTTCCCAAGCAATGGAAACAGAAGCTGGAAAACGGGAAGGTGAGTATCGACGACGAAGACGTCAGGACTGCATTTGTCGACCTGCGCCACAAGCACGCCCTGTACGACAAACACCGATTCATGATCTATATCGACGGCCTGGATCAATACAACGACAACTGGTGTGATCTACGCAAAGACCTTGCGACGTGGGCAGACTTCAAGCCCCAGGACGTCAAGATATTCGTGACCAGCCGTGAGCATGTAATCTTCGACGAGCCTGGGCCTACGGAGGGATTCCGTCTCCGGGATGTGAACTACACGGACATCTACCAATTTGTGACCAGTAGATTGAGTGGTCACCGCCCCTATCTCAACCGGGTGAACGAGTTGGACAGAAAGACACTGCAAGAGAAGATTGCCAGGGGGTCGGAGGGTGTGTTCCTCTGGGCTCATCTGGTTGTTCAAGAACTTAACCTCGAGTGCGAGAAGGGCTGCTTCTCCGGACTGGAAGGTCTGGAGTATTGGGTCAACAAACTTCGCAGGGAGGTAGAAGTATAGTCGAAGGCAGATAGAACATGAATTTTCGGATTGCTAGATCACTTGAAAGAATCGATTGCGATTCTCGTCCACTCCAGAGTAAACTAAACCAAGGAATCTTGAGTGTCTTTCGGGGCTGAATGCACGCTTCGGCTCCTCATTACCGACCATGATTTCGGCTAGGGTTGAAGAAGATTCAACCAGAATCTGCGGGAAGGAATTTTATAGCGGGCAAGAGGTCCTACCAAATATATGTCATAGAAGGCGAACACACGCTTGAAAAGTAGCTTTCTAGGATGAAGGATTTCGCGGGTCGCAACACATACGATTTAGGCTCTAAAGAGGCGCAAAAGGCTAGATATTCCCCGTATCACTTATCCACAGCCCTCAGCAAGTGGAACGAGTCCCTCTCTCCGGAGATTAGCCTACAGCGCCGCCTTGGCCAGGTTGTTCAGGAACGTGGCATCCTTAAACGGCACCGTCGCCTTGCCAAAGTCCGCCCCTTCCAACCCATCTCTGGCGGCCTGCGGCAGCGAATCCCACGCCACGAGCGCCAGATCGCGGCCCAGCGTCTCCGTAAACTGCAATTCATGGTTGGTCGGGAAGCTGGTGAAGTACTCGACCTTGGGCCGGTCGCCCTGGCGCGGCGGGCTGGTCGTCTTCTTATACTTCCCGTGGCCCGAGGCGGCGCCCCCGAGGACCGTCGGGCTGGCGTTGCTGGGGTTGTTCACCCAGATGACCACGTTCTCCCAGTCGTGGCGGTGCGCCCCCGTCGAGACCCCGCTGGTGGGCATGTCCTTGGGCATGTACCAGGCGTACATGATCCCGTACCGGCCGTTGTACCAGCCCCCACGCACGTAGGTCTGACCCCGTGACTGGTCGCGGCAGCCGCCGGTTGCGCTTCCGGTGTCTTGGAGACCTCCGCTGTTGTTGGTTGACTGTTAGTGAAATGATCAAATGTTGAGACGGGAAGGGAGAGGGTGGTCTGACCTGGTATCGCCGTTAGCAGCGACAGCGGGGTAGGATTGGCAGCCATGGGCGATATGGAGGTAGGGCTCAAATTTCTTGAACGTGTTGCCGACGGCGTCGTCGGGGACCGTTTCGGGGAATGGGGTGATGCTGTCGTGGGGGACAACAGCGCGTTTAGCGAGCGGGGAGGCCTGCGCCGCGGCGAGGGTGGTGAGGATGGTGAAGATGGTTTTGGGAAGCATTGTGCTTTAGAATCAGGGGGTGGATGAATGTGAGGATTGGCTGCGTGGTGCGAGTGATGGCTGAGATGTACGTGTTGACAGCAGGGTTGGAGATCCCTTATATAGCTTTTCATTCGACATAGCTTCTCATAGTACGCACGCCTCAATTCAATAGGTCATGTACAATACCTCGCCTCACTGAAGGAGCCAAGCTCGTGTACAGTACTTGCCCAAGACAGCGAGGTCGAAATACTCACCATCGAGTGACCTTCGGCCGGATCGTGGGTCGAACAATTGCCAAGAAGACACAGCCTGCAGGGTCCCTGAGACGGTCGGATAAACATGAGTGGAAAGGTTCCAGTTGGCCAATTTGTTAAGGTTTAACATTCCTCTGTCTCGGCGGAACGGTCTTGTATAAAGTTGAACATAGTGTGGAATTGCGTGGATGGGCATTGGGTGATTTTCGCAGCTCCACCTGCCAAGCGCTCCTTCGGGAGTCGGGGTTTCGTCGGAACACTCCTGTTCCTGTGATCGACGTCGGCAGAGACATCAGGGGTTGTCTGGCTGGACGGGAGGAGCTATCTAGTCACTGAACTGAAATTAGAGAGTGGAACCCGGTGATGGAAACTACTGTAGAGGTGTCTGGTGGGAGTGGGAGTGTGAACGAACACCCCCACCAGCGGTAGGTTAGGTCACCTCCCAATCTGGTCTGAAGCAAATCACAGAAGACTACAATGCCGTGCTGCTGCGCTGCTGCTGCCTGGCAAATAATGACGACATGCCCGCTCATGACAGTCTATTGGAGTATGGCAACGGGAAATTAGGCACACTGACCTCGCAATATGCATGTTGACAATATCCGATTGGGCCGATAAGTAGGGTCAGTAAGCAGCCACCAAATCCTAAGAGGCCACAAGAAGGCTGCGACCTTCACACCAAGTAGTTCCGACATTTTCGTGCTCTCTGTGCAAAGCATTCCGTAGAGTACATAGAGTCCGCATCCCCAAAGGGCTCCACCGATTGACTGTACTGATTGACGTTGCGCGGTCTCCACAAGTTTCTAACCATGTCCACGTATTTTGAGCAATCAGGGGCCTGGAATACTTCGGTATTGCTAAAGCGTAGTAGCCCGGTGGCTTCGGTGGGCTTTGACTTTACACCTCTCTTTGAAGACACTGTCTTGTCGCTGCTACCATCGGCACTTTTCTTACTAGTCCTACCATATCGCATTGCATGCCTTCATGGTCAACAGCCGAAAGTCTTTTCTGGAGGCTTTCTGCGCGAAAGCAAATCCATCTTCTTGGTGACATTGGCTACGATTCACCTCGCGCTGTTGATCCTCCACATATTGAGCCCATCATTACGCACGCCCGCCACTCTTCCCGAGTCCGCCGTCACATTCATTGCCAGTCTAGGCCTTTGTCTACTTTCGCGGCTGGAACATGCTCGCTCGGTCCGCCCATCGGCCATTATCAATGGCTACCTCCTTCTGACTTTGGTGTTTGACATTGCCCGTGTGCGAAGCCTGTTTCGCGCCTCAGCTGCCAGTTCTCTTTCTGGAGTATTCTCCAGCATGATCGCGGTCAAGGTGACGGTTCTACTGGCCGAGGCAGTCGAAAAGCGACAGATCCTCCTGCCGCCATACCGAGAATTGTCGCCAGAAGAAACAAGTGGCATTTACAGCCGCCCCTTTTTCTTCTGGCTGAACCAACTCATGAACTCGGGCTTTCACCGTGTCCTTCAGAACCAGGACTTGTATCCCATTGACAAGGACATGTCCTCCCAGGTTCTTCAACAGCGAATCAAGAAGGTGTGGAATATGACGGTACAGAACCAGCCGCGGGCCCTGTTCTGGGCAGTATTACGTGCCAACTTGAAGCCCTTTCTCTATTGTCTTCTTCCCCGTTTGGTTCAGATAGGGTTCAAATATACCCAACCGCTTTTGCTAACCCGCATCGTCAGCTTTGCGAGCGATGAGAGCCAACCTGAAAGTATCGGCTGGGGCCTGATGGGCGCCTTTTTCCTCGTTCTCCTCGGGCTTGCTCTGTCAAACGGCGTGTTTTACCACATGACTTTTCGGTTCTTGACCAGTGCCCGTGGAAGCTTGATCAGTATGATCTACGCCAAAACGCTGGATCTGGACATTACGGCTCTCGATGAATCAGTTGCAGTGACCCTCATGTCCAGCGATGTTCAGTCGATTTGCAACGGGTTACAGCTGGTTCATGATCTCTGGGCGGTACCTTTGGAACTCGCGATCGTGGTCTATCTCTTGGCCCAGGAGATCAAGATGGCAGCGATAGTCCCCGCTGGGCTGGCACTTTTCTGCACTGTCGCCATTCTGTCGATGGCTAGATATATGAGCAACGCACAGAAAGTCTGGATGAAAAGCATCCAAACGCGAGTGGATGTCACAGCGACCATGCTAGGGTCGATGAAGTCAGTCAAAATGCTGGGTTTCACTGACTGGCTGTCGTGGAATTTACAACGGCTTCGCGTCCATGAACTTCACGAGGCAAAGCTATTTCGCCGCTTGCTCGTATTACGCGTGTTCCTTGCGAATAGTCTCAGGTTTCTCGCTCCACCGGTAACATTAGCCATCTACACGTTAGTAGCCAAAGAGGGTCATGGGTTAAGTGTGACCTCGGCCTATTCGACACTGTCGCTGATCTCGCTGGCTGCGTCACCGGTCAATGTTTTTATCCGAGCCATCCCTGCCATGAATGCTGCGTTGGCCTCGTTTGCCCGCGTCCAAGTTTACCTACAATCAGACACTAGACAGGATTATCGCATCTTCATGGACGATCCTCCAGCCTCGGCCCAGCAAGCCCAGACAACCTCAGAGAGTATAGAACTGGCACATATGAGTCGCCCCATCCGCCATGCTACTTCGGAAGTGATCACAGCCCGTGATGTGAGCATCTCATGGAGTCAATCTGCATCTTTTTCGATTCACAATATCAACTTGAGTTTTTATGAAGGACAATTCTACTTCATAATTGGACCGGTGGGCTGCGGGAAGAGCACGTTCGTCAAGGGGATCCTCGGTGAAACGCCTTCAACAAAGGGATTCTTGCACGCAAGGCACCGCGAGACGGCATTCGTCGATCAGACGCCCTGGATCTGCAATATGTCGTTCCGCAATAATGTTGTGGGTGCGTCACCATATACCGATACATGGTATCACGAGGTTGTCAACGCATGTGGACTGGGGCAGGATGTTGCTCATCTTCCACATGGCCACGGTGAGCTATCCTTACTTGAGCGCCCGGTCTGCCCATTACAATTCTAACCCACAATGTCAGCGACCAAGGTTGGTTCATCTGGTATCTCCCTCTCCGGTGGACAAAAACAAAGGCTGGCCCTCGCTCGTGCAGTGTATGCGCGTAAGAGGGTTGTCATTCTCGATGATGTTCTGTCAGGAATTGATCTAGACACGCAAAACCATATTATGAAGAGCCTGTTCGCGAACCAGGGTCTCTTTCGTCGCCTGGGCACAACGGTAGTACTGGCCACTCATTCTGTACATAGTCTCTCCTATGCGGATTATATCGTCGCCATGCAGAGTGATGGGTCAATTGCGGAACAAGGTACTTTGGAGGAGCTTGAGGCCAGCGGCGGCTACATGAGCACCCTGCGGGCCCAGTATAAACATCGAACAGCTAAAGGGTCTAGTTCACACAAGCTTCCAGCTCTCAATGTTGCACATTCCGGCTCCGAGCAAAGCCCTGGCATTGAGGCCACGAGCCAGGAAAGGACCAGGCAAAGTGGAGACTGGACTCTTTACCACTGGTATTTTGGTACTGTGCACTGGGCATCCACGGCTCTCTGGATGAGTTCCTTCATCTTGGAAGGCATGATTCCCAAGTTGAGCGAATGGTTGGTTAATGTCTGGATGAACGCAGTAGCTCGCCAGGGCAGCGCCGTCAACTCTTTCTACCTGGGTCTTTATAGCATGTCATCGATTATCACGGTGTTGACACTTGTTGGTGGCTCGTACCATTTACTTATGTTCTTCGCGCCCCGCAGTGCTGAGAGACTGCACGAGCGTCTCTTAAAATCGGTCATGCATGCGCCCCTGTCGTTCTTCACTTCGGTCGACACTGGCACCACAGTGAATCGGTACGCTGTCCGAGATAATTGATTCATGCCGTCGCGTCACACAACTAACCACAAAAATATAAACAGGTTCAGTCAAGATATGACGCTCGTTGACCATGACTTACCATACGCCGTCCTAGACTTCGTATTCGCCCTAGCAGGTGGGGTTATGTCCGCGATCATGATCTGCATCTCGACCCGGTACTTCGCAGCCGTGATTCCACCCCTGTGCCTGTTCCTGTGGATGCTGCAGAAGTTCTACCTCCGCACCTCCCGGCAGATGCGGCTGCTCGACCTGGAGGCCAAATCCCCGCTCTTCTCGCAGTTCCTCGAGACCCTGTCCGGCTTGGTGACTATCCGTGCGTTCGGATGGACATCCGTCTTCGAAGACCAGAGCCTCGCCCTTCTAGACGAGTCGCAGCGGCCCTTTTACCTGCTGTTCTGCATTCAGCGATGGCTGGAACTTGCGCTGGATCTATCCGTCGCGGTGCTCGGTGCAACCCTCATGGTGCTGGTGGTCAAGCTGCGCGGGACGCTGGGCACCGGCTACGTCGGGCTTGCCATCCTGAACGTCATCACCTTCAGCCAGTCGCTCTCGCAGATCCTGCGCAACTGGGCGGACTTGGAGACATCTATTGGTGCGATCGCCCGCATTCGAGAGTTTGTGGCCCAGACCCCTTCCGAGGATCAACCTGGCGAGACGGTGGGGCTGGCCGAGGATGTAGACTGGTCTTCGTGGCCGTCCAGGGGAGCCATCGAGTTCCAAAACGTATGCGCATCGTACACGGCCGGAGACTCAGACCGCAACCCTGTTCTTCGCAAACTATCCCTGTCAGTGCAAGCGGGGCAGAAGATCGGCATCTGCGGCCGCAGCGGGAGTGGCAAAAGCTCCCTTCTGGCGGCCCTGTTCCGCTTGCTGGAGATCGACCCCCGTGGTCGCATCTTGATCGACGACGTCGATATCGCGCGGATCCCCCGGCAGATGGTCCGCCGCGCGCTGAATGCCATCCCGCAAGACGCGTTCTTCACACAAGGCACCATTCGTCTCAACCTGGATCCGGGGACTCAACCGAGCCATGAGGAGGTGGAACGAGCGCTGCGCCGTGTGGGCCTGTGGGCTGCGGTGCAGACAAAGGGTGGAATTGACGTTCCCCTGGACGCGAACGCATTCTCGCACGGCGAGCGGCAGCTACTCTGTCTTGCGCGGGCACTTCTTCGGAAGAGCAAAGTCGTGGTGCTAGATGAGGTGTCGAGTAATGTGGATGTCGTGGCGGATGCGCTGATGCAGCGGGTGATCCGGGAGGAGTTTGCGGGCTGCACCGTGCTGGCGGTCGCGCATCGGCTCGAGACGATCCGGGATTTTGATCGCATTGCAGTGATGCACGAGGGTCAGCTGGTCGAGTTCGATACGCCGGAGGCACTGCTCAGCACGGATACTGATTCCGGCGGCTATACCAGTCGTAGAGGTGAGGAAGAGGCAAGAATTGACGCATCATGCCATACATGAAGGGAAATGATTCAGGGCCAAATGTGCGAGGTAGAGCCGCTCACGTATCAATCTTATGTTCAATCCCAGAACGGTATCGGCAATGGTAGTATTGATACTAAATAGTGCTGTTCCGGGCCTTTCTGATTCAGATAAAGCCCAGAAAACCGGATCAGCCGCAGATCCGGTTCATTGATATTGGAACCGACACAACAACTAGGGTACAGAAAAGCCCGGCCGTGTGGGAACGTAGCTATCTAGCATGCTAGGCAGGTTTCCTGCGCCACCATGAGTTTAGTGCTTACGGTTCCAAGCTGTATTCGTGCCTAGAGGGCAGCCGAGCCACCCACTAATATCTCGATCTTGCTGATTTCTCCACCTGAAGTAACGAATCGGTCGATTTGTCTTCGATGACGAGGGTCATTGTGGAGAACCACTTGGGAGTTTGGATAGAGTCGTTGCCTAGCGTCCTTGCTCGCCAGCCGGTTTAAATTCAACGACCACCCCGCCCTCTTGCTCGCATGAGTCAGGGCTTTTACCTCCCCAATCTGTCTTGTGCCTATCTCGCATACCTGGGTAAAGGGTAAAATCTCACCTGATGTCTGGGTCAATGCATAGGACTGACGATCCCACAGATACGAAATTGCACCATGGCCGCCACCGACCTTAGCCATGTCCCCGCCTACCTCATCGGAACTCTAAGCATAGCGTTGGGCCTCAACGCTATCTTTCGCCCCGCAGCAGAGTACCCGCGTTTTGGTTTGCCGTTGGAGGCCGGCCATCAGGCTCTACCTCACCAGAGCTCCTGCGTCTCCCCGCTCATGTACCTGAAAGGTATTCGGGAGATCAGCTATGGCCTGTTGCTCATCGGGCTGCAGTCCCAGGGCCAAGAACCGGCCATCACGACGCTGGCGGCGGTAATGGCCTGTGTGGGACTGGCGGACGGCGTCGTGGTGTGGTGTTGTGGAGGGGCGGAACGGAGGCAGAAGGCTTGGGGTCATTGGGGCACGTTTGTCGTGATGGGAGCGTGGGCCTGGTACAGGAACTCCCCTTGATGAGGTTGATTATTTCTACTGCGGAACGGCGGGAATGGCGGAGATTGTATAAGATTACGGCTCGGAGACGCCATTCGATTTGTTTATACTATAGGGATACTGCGATAGTCTGGTGCAGCGCAATGAAATTAAATGCTGGATAACGGCGAGCACGAAGATTCTGAAAAGCTCAACTAGTTCAGTCTGGATCGGCTTGACACATAGGAAACAAATATCTAATGAACGAGACAGAAAATGCAAAATTGGAGCTGGTCTCGAAGGTCGAATGAAACTTCTCGCCAGTTGGAGAATTCTGGTGGCCACTGATCTGACAGACGCGAAGCTCATGAACCAGAGGGAGGGAGAGTCAGTGCGAGACCACATTAGAGAACCTCGGATGAACCTTGGGGAAAGAAGTCGTTGTAGGATGTAAAGTCCTCAGGAGAAAAGAAGAAATCCAAAAAATCATCCGAGGAGAAGTCCCCCGAAGTGGAGCTGAATTCTGCATTAGGGAAAGAAGCAGAAAAATTTTACAAGCAACGTCTTCTTCCTCTCTCACCATTCAAGGCAAATGGACTCGCCCATCTCCGCAAGTTAAAACCTGCACTTTTACAAGCATTGTGTACCGCACAGGAGAGAAAGGGAAGTGTATAGGATTGAACCTTGGTTGAGGCTGAAGAGAGACAGACAAAAGTGCGCATTCAACTGTTGCTATTGGTGTGTGTCAATTCCGCCGAAGATGTAGGGTTGCGTGTTTCAACCTCGGGGGTTCCTTCGCTGTACACCTCCCACTCTCTCCCTTCACCTTCATCCCCGAACAGTTGACAGAACAAACCGATCACCATCAACTTGCTAGCAACTCAGGTAGCCCCACCTTAACCTACTGACTGATGTCCACAATCAAGTCAACGCGAGCTTCATCATGGTCAAGCGGAGATCTGCAACGTCACATGTCAATGGCTGTCGAGCCATCGAGCGAGAATATGTGATTGGACGCAAAGCATTAAAGACTGTGAGAGCCAAAGCTGATCAGCACCTGTCGAGCACTGAGCTCCAGGAATCGTAAGTGAAGTGCGAGTGATAAAGGTCCAACATATATTGACTAATTCAAACACCCCCAAGCCATGACCACTGGAAACGATATTTCCGACGAAAAGGGATGTATAAAAATATTTCCAGACGGGAAGCGGTATAAACCAACATTCTTCAGAAGAAAATGGGCGCAGCATCAGGAACCTGGTCCTATCTAGTCTTCGCTGGCGGAACCTTGATGTCCAACCAGAAAATCAAACGGCATGTTCAAAAAATAGGAGAAGACACTAAACCAGAGGAGATTGAAGTGCCTGAGCGTCGCAGCATTGAGGTTATCCCGCTTCCCTTTCAACGCGATGGTTCTGAAGGAACGAGTGTCTTTCGGGGTTTCCAGATGCTCCTGCTCGATACTCGGGATTATTTCTGGACCTGCCTCAGGTCCAGACGCTGGGAGTCCATGGGCCAGGGCCTATACGCCCGCAGCCCCGAACGTCGAGCCGAGCTGAAGACGCTAGGTTGTTTCCACAACATGATCGCTGACGCAATCAGCCTGTCTGGGCAGGGGAATGACCACAATGCCTGGGCACTAACAAGCACGGCGAGCCGGAGCCTTGAATCCAATGTCCATAGCTATCATCATCGAAAAGTCTCGGACATACTGGGCGTGCTCGTTATGCTTAAACAAGCTGAGCAGGACAGCCTATGCCATAGAATCTGTCAATCGATTGTCAATGCGCAAATGGATTGCCGACGGATGACTGCCGTAGGAAGATGCTTGAATCTCTGAAATATCTTAATGTGGATTCTGCCGGCCATCTTAAAATGGTATTGGATGCATATTTTCGTAGTCTGTGGCCGCCTAGCGTCAATTCTCAGCAGACCAGAATTGAGCACATTAAGTCCCACTTTTCATACAACCAGGCAAGCTTCCCTCGCGCTGAGAACAACGGGTCCTATGACTTATTCCGAGACATGACTCCGGATAATGTCTTTAAGATCCTGAAGGACATCGATGGTGGGGAACAGTTGGGCGAATTCAGCCACGAGTCAATCTGTCTATGGCACACTGCAATTCGCTGGCTCAAGTTGGAAGGCGATTTTGCACAGATGGTCGAATTTGGAGAATATTTGTCCTTGCGATGGCATACGTTCGGTCCTTGGTTTGACTTAGCTCAATAATGATGCTTCACTTACCTTCTACCTACTGGGGGTCGGCTATAAAGCGTGCCGTGACTTTGGGAAAGCCATGGAGGCCTTGCAAAATGCGGTAGTCATCCGGCGTCAGGGTGTATGTGATGAAAAATGGGATGCCACTAAGGTAGCTACACTGAAGGAGTTGAAGTCAGTTGCCTCGTTACTAGAGCTTACTGGATGAGCAAGCTGGTCCGACGAGGTGTTGAAGACGACCTATTTGGGACTTGTGATTGAGAAGACTAGGAGGCGCAACAGAGATGTCTCGGGGGATTGCACTAGTGTCTTCAGAATGTCAAAGAACGCGCTTGAATCTCTGTGAGCCCTGCACGTCACACGGCACTTGAGATTACTGAGATACTTGTAGTAACGTACCCTGCCCGCAGTTATGCAATTACCATGACTTGATCATATATGCGCCAGGCGGTGTTGATATGGTGTAACATCGAACAGGATTTATTTCTCCACACCTTCCTATGTAGATAAAGCACTCCCCTCACCAAGATGCCAAAAGCATCATAAAAGTTCATTTATAGGGCTGTCGCGCGTCGGACGTGTTACTCGCTACGCTTTGACAGGATGAAACCCAGAGATGTCCAATCATATTGCCTCCTGTGTCGAGATGTCCACATATCACAAAAGTCCACGAGGAGGGCCGACCCCTCCGTTTAAGCTTCTTGGGACATTTTAACAATTTTCGTGCAAGGAATCGACCCTTTTTTCTTGTCGAGATGTCAAGGTATTGCAGAAACCCACGTCTAGGGCTGCCCCGCCTTGCTTCAGTTGCCTGGTACGCCTCGACAGGGGTGGATGCGAGAAGATGATTATCGGATCTTATCAGATCATTCGAACACTTGCTGCTATACACAGGTGCAGACCCCGGTTCCCTTGTCCTAATCACTGGAGTACAAGGCGTTGGAGGATATTCACTGCCAGCGGAATCGAGGTCAGTATGTATCGCACTAAAAGTCATCGATTGACAATTCATGCTAATACCACGTACCGACCAAACTCGCTGTGTGTGGCATGACCGTTGGTCAGCCAACTTGGTGAAAGGTTTTGAACCTTTGAAGACAGACGGAGCAGGTAATAACGCGGCGTGCTATTCGGCCTGCTCGATGAATGCAACGCGATTTTCAAAGCTAGGTCGACTGCTGATCTGCGCCAGGACTGACTGAAACACAGTGATTTCTCGTGGCCTTTCCAGCTGCCTGCCATTTCTTGCACGGCGGCACACCAAAGTGTTATAACGCCGGTGGGTGGGAAGTTCTGCGAGCCGTGGAGGCTGTCAAGGGATGCTGAGCCAGCCAATCGACCGTGCGAGCGATTAGGATTCGACCCTCGAGGCTTGCATTAATCTGGAAACACTCCATAAGCTTCTGACAAGGGTAGGTCTGGGTCCGATATCATACGACATCCAGCCAAATAGCAGCGCTGAAGCGATTGTTGATGACGCGGGGAGAAATGTCCGGTGATAATCGAGACGAACGCGAGTCGAATACATAAATCTGTTATGGCGGATCGGTTGGTACGCAAGCTGAACAGAGAGCCGTTGGGGATGGCACGTGTAGGGATATTATAAACAGATTCATCTTGGAACATAGGTTGAACCAAGGGGGGGAGCAGAATATGATAGTGTGTAAGTAGTCACCTTTCCGACGCAGCCTGTTGGACATCAAATCGGCGATCCTAGCCATATTCACCAACCCGCAAATGTCTTTCATTGGCTTGACATAGATACAAGTAAGTCAGTGTGACCGCTGCCCTTTCTCATGGTATAAACACATTGCTGAGGTTGGACTCACTTTTCTGATTTGCGTCAATCAAATCCCCCTTACATCGCCTTTCTTCTCAGAACGTAGGCAACTTTGGTCCAACTTGGTGCTAAAGGAAATATGTCTATATCTAGGTCAATACTGCGCAAACAATACTACTTCCTTACTACACTCCACGCAACCTAGAGGTTGCTTGGTAGAATTCCACCTTGCTCAACAAACGTGATATACAACTAACAATTGTTTCCGATTGCATACTACATAATGCACTTAGAGTATAAGCAACGAAACGTACTACTTCAACTGGCATTCCGGCCATGAAAGTAGTCGCTCTACGCGGCGCCAATCACAAGCCTTCATGATATGGCTAAAGCGAGCCCGTGAATGACTTCAAAACAAACTCAGAGAATACCAGAACTGGTGGATTGGAAAAGGCCGAGACTTTAGCAGTTTCGAATGGTGACAATCAGCTTGAGGGTCTGACCAGGCCACGGTGTTTGTCTTCGATGACATATTGTTTTACCACCAGACACGCTACCGTACAGGCTTCTTCCTGGAGGCTCTGTCTCTTTAGTCTAGGCCCTTTGAAGCAGCTGACGTCCCTGTCAAGAACTTCACTATCCTCACCACACATCCTTCAGCGCTCTTGGGCGCCTTATTCTAGCCACTTTCTAGGTGATTCTCAGCAGGGTGACGCCTATGAATGAGAGAATGCCGACGCCTAGCATAGAACCAAGGCAAGGGAAGTATTCGGAAATACTTGTGGCTTCGGTGGCGTAATTCAGCTTTCTTCGCTGGACAGGGCCGATGACGAAAGACCCCATGACTGTCAGATCAAACACAGTCAGGAGTATCATCAGCAATTCTACACGTCAGTCGTTACATTTACCCCGATCCTTCGCATGAATGAGGCTCTAGATTTACGTCAAAATTAGGATGACGCCGAGCAGACATGACGGGTGCCAAGCAGACGGTATGGTGTGGATGCTACACAACGGACACTGCCGGCGTATGCCTACAATTGCATCAAGCTTCCTTATAACCGTCATAATTAAGTCAATCCAAACGTGAGCTTGCGCTTCAGTCTATGATCGAAGACATGGGAGAGGGATGATCCGTCCATATCAGGATGGCCATCAGAGCCGGGCTAGAATTGAACAAGCTATCCCAAATGTCCAGTTCCGTCGCGCGGCCTTTCATTCATAAGGATGGTTGCGAAGTGATCGATCGTGATCCAAGGTTCATGGATGTCACTGTCGATGACTTACCTCAACGAGGTGCCGGAGAATGGGACAAAACAGGGAGGCGCCAGAACGCAGAGGTCAAACCTTGTCGGGGGGGAGGGGGAAGAATGAGGCGCATGTAGTCTGCCTGACAATCTCGCCAGTAACGGCAGATGGAATCTTGCGGAGATTATATCCTGAGGAAAATTGAGACAGTGCAAGAAAAAGTCTAAATCAGTCTGACTTGACATCGAGTTCCCTTCCCACTCCGGCTAGACTGTATCCTCTGGAATGCCATGTCATTCTTGCCGCAGATTCCCCGACTTGACTGTACAGCTTACGCTGTACAATACCCTACAATTCACCTATTCCTCCCGGTACCGTGTTAGTAGAACAGTCGCGATGCCTATGCTATCCGAAAGTGTTGCCTCTACCGCAATGCACTGTCACAGTCAAACTTACACATGCACAAGCCTGCGCAGGCTCGTGCAGAGCAAGAGAAAAGGTGATAGCAATGACCCTCGCAATTGTCTTGCGGAACCAGGTAACTCGGCATCACTCCAAGATCACTATCCGTCCAACTTATGACCTCATGCATGACTCGCGCACTATATGCATGCATCCAGCGCCGCAAACAGAGATGCTTCAATGCTGCTTGTGGGCTAGAAACCTTAATCACCCTCCCATGCAGTCGTTCTGTGGAAGCGGTGGCAAGGATGGAGTCTGTCACCGGGCTCGGAGATGCTACATCCGCTCATAGGCTTGAGGCTAGAACCAACCTGTCCCATGTTCACTAGTTTGACCGACAGTGACAGGATATGTCTCTGGCCGTCTTCGTCGCGCCGAGCTTGCAGGCAGCGCGTTAATAATCGTGACGCTCTGTCATGGAGCATCTGGATATTCTGGAAGTAAGTTTAACATGCTTCAGAGAGGCCGTTCGTCTTGTGATTGCAAGTCCCCCAAGACATTGACAAAACACTGTTATCATGACAGGCCCATCGACGACAAAACTTGGCCAGGATGGCGGGGCTGGATCTGAGCCCTATCTCCATCTCAGTAAATCGCTGCGCTTCTCCAATCTAGATGAGTTTCAGTACTGGCACCAGCATGGACCCATGTTGGGAAAGTTACTATGCGACGGCAACTACAGCGTGCACCAACAATATGAGTATCTCTGCCTCTTTGCCCGTTTAATCGTCCCTTCGTTGGGTCCCTTCCCTAGCCCTGGCCGCGAGGTCTTTCAATGCATCTTAGGCAGCATTGGACCTTTCGAATTGAGCCAGAACTTCACCAAGACCCGTTCGACTACGCGCATCGCCTACGAGCCGACCAGCCACAGGGCCACGACAGGTCAAGATCCGTTTAACCGTGCCCTGTTACCCAGCGCTCTACACGACCTAAAGGCCACCGCCGCCGCGATCAACTTAGACCTACACCATGCCCTCCTCCCGCGTCTGACACTCAGTGATAGCGATGTGGCACGGCTTCCCCAATCTCAGACTGCGGAGCTACCCTTTAAAACGCAGACGATTCTCGCGCTGGACCTGGATCCAGCCGGCATCTCCGTCAAGGAGTACTTCTACCCAACGCTCAAAGCCCAAGTCACTGCCCAGTCCCCCACGCAGCTGTGCATAGATGCCATCCGCACCATCGACTCCGAGCAGCTCTTTGCGCAGGGGTGCGACGCCCTCCAGGAGTACCTACAACAACCAGGACAAAAGACGGAGATCTTTCTTGTGTCCTGCGACCTGGTCGACCCGCATCGCACGCGGCTGAAATTCTACCTGGCTGAGTTCGACGTGCGCTTCGACCGTCTCGTCGAGCACTGGACAATGGGCGGCCAGCTGAACAAGGAGGACCCGGATATCACTGAGGGCCTGGCGATGCTCGACGAGCTCTGGCGCGCTCTGGAGATTGTGGAGGGCCCTCGCGCCTACCCCAAGCGGCCCTCACAGCCCGGGGATCCTCCCACGTACTTGCCTTTGATGCTCAATTACGAGATCCATCCCGGCCGTCGCGCACCGATCCCGAAATTCTACTTCCCCGTCTCCGGGATTCCGGATACCAAGGTCGCAGCTGTGCTGACGGATTTCTTTGAACGTCATGACATGCCAGATCAGGCTGCTGTCTATGCTGCGAACTTGCAGAACTACTTGTAGGTTTATCTCTACCCTCAACCGGGGTACTAGACTCGGGAACAGAGTCCGAGCTGATTGGGACCACAGTGCAGGCGAGAATCTGGAAGAGACCACGCATCACCAGGCGTGGTTGTCTTTCTCGTACGCCAAGAGCAAGGGCCCGTATCTGACTGTGTACTACCATTGACCTGAACTGTCTATTTTCTGGATCGGAGTAAAATGTCTGCTGTTGTAGGAAATGACCTGTGGTTAAACGAGATAATTGCAGTCAACTTAATTTCGACGGTGTAGAGCCTGAGAGGCTGCTGTCATCGAGGCATTATTGTGTCTTACATTATCTTAATAAATCAACATTCTAAGATTGTGATAGAGATTATTCTCAATGCTTGCTACAGGTGTTGACCAGATTGTGGTTTGGGCGACCTGGTCACGAGCGCACACAAATGAAACGAAACGTATTTCTGGGCCGGGACCCATCACGACTGCATGACAGCGACTTGGCAGCTACATGACATTTCAAAGGATCATACCAACGACCTGCTGAGCATGCGCCATCGAGTCATGTCCATCTAAAGTAGAGCCCTCTGGTGTTGCCGGCCTACTGATCCATCCAATGAGAATGACGCGGCGGGAAATGCCAGGGCCCGGCATTTAGGTTCTCTCGCATTCTTTCCCTGCTTTCAAGTTCCCTTTCTATTTCTTGCTTTTTCTAATATCTCCTTGTGATATCTGGTAATGGTGCATGGCTTCAGAAGAGTGATCTGAAGGCATTGAATATGGTATCGGAAGTTTTATTTCGCTTTGATCATATAACGCGACTTGCCGAAACAACTTTGGCACAGAACCCTAATTCTACATTATTGGGGAACTCAGCCCCCCCCTTCTTCCGGCCACCCCGGGGCTTTCCACTTTCCCCTCCGATTTTGACAGAAGTATCTCCAGAATACCCTTTCCCCCCTCTCTTGGTCGCCATTGATCAATTCTTCAATGGCTGACAGCCAATGCCGCGCGCAATACTATTGGCGAGAGGCGTCATGCCCGGTTGGCCGTAGAACTCGCGGAGCAGCTGCATCGCCCTCGCGCGGGGCCGGATCTCCGCGCGATCGTGCAACTCCCCGGGCACCGGGCTTGGAATCAGAGGGTTCTCGGGCTGCAACTGCTCCAGAATGGTGAGGACATCCGTCCAGTTGGCCGACTCACCAAAAGCGAACACGCGTTCCGAGGCCACGGTGGGCTCGAGCAAAGCAATTACAAACAGCCGGGCGATATCTTCGACGTCGACGAACCACTCTGGGACGGGTCAGTATGCGCTGCGAAGTCTAGACAGACAGGCAAAGTCCATGAACTGAAAGCCGAACAGGGTGAAAGCCCAAGGTAGGAAACGGGAGGGGTTGGGAGGGCTCACTGGGTGGAACAAGAGTCATTGGGGTACGGTCACCGTGAAGGAGCCCGCGTACCCAATTCATGGTCGAACCTGGGATCTCGTCCATAAGAATCCTCCCGACCTGTGATCCTTGGTGAGCGAAACAGAGATTAAAGATCGGAGGGATGAGAACAAACCGCAAACGCTGCGACTACAGTGTTGAACTCGAAGGCAGGTTGGTGGCAGCGGACCCATTCCCACGCCTCCCACTCACAGATCATCTTACATGCGCTGTATACCTCGACCTGCCGTTTCTGCATCCCTTGGGAAGTAGGCTCATGTGGCTGCGTCTTAAGATTCCAAGAGGGCGATAAGGCTTTGAGGACAGCTGACATATTCCAGGTATCTGGGCCGCAAGGAAGTTCAGGTTAGAGCAAAGTCGTTCGATACCAACTGAAGAACCCCATTTTTTCTCGACATCGTTGTGCTTACCTTGGTCGACCACCACACCCTGTTGTCCAGGGTCTGGGGTATAGAGCGCCATCGACGAAGAGATGAGCACCACCCTGCGTATGGAAGACACTTGTGAAGCTGCTTGTAGGACGCTCAACGTTGCTTGCCGGGACCAAGGAACCACTTCATTGATGTCAGTTCCTAGTGTGAAGTCGGAGACCTGCATGAAGTCACATACGTCAGAGACATATGCTTATAGGTCGGGAAAAGAGAAGCGAGACAAGCGGGAAAGAAATAGTGATCTGGGAAACGTAGACCGTGCCGATAAGGAGAGAAAAAGGTTGGTCACCAAATGTACGACCCCATCCGCATCAGCCAGTATAGATTCAATTGCTGCGGGGTCGCGAAAGTCCGGCACGAGAACGGTGTGAAACCTGTCGGGCCCGTACTCCCTCTCGTAAAAGGCGTTCAGCCAAGGTTTAGGGCTGCGAACGGTGCCGCGCACGCGATACCCCAGTTTGAGCAGTTCATTACTGGTGTGTGACGCCAGGTAGCCATTGGCCCCCGTTACGACGACTGTAGATCCTGGAGGGAGAGCGAGATTCATCTCAGGGACAATGGATGTGTATCACACTCTATATCAGTAATTTGGAGGACCATTTTGAAGAACAGCTCAGCCTAGATCCATGATAATTCTGGGGCATTTTATCGTTCGTGGTTATGGCTCGGCAAGCGGGAAAGCGGATTTCCGAAGACAAGCTCACCGGATCTGGACCGAGAAAGCTTAGATGGGCAGCAGAGATCTGGTTCATTGTCAATCTGGCGTAATTCCGAGTGCTTCCAGCCTGCTGGATGACGGTCCAGACTCCTTCGATGAGGACACTCGGAGATGCCGGGGCGTTATGCCGTGCAGAAGGCCACCAACGTAATGCACCATTACACTGCTATGACAGAGGACATGGCACATGACTTGAGCGCCGATGGTAGCGGTGGTTCGGCGACCTTACCATGGCCCTGAACCCCGGTGGGTGGGTGGTGGGTGACACCGGGGTCGGCTCGATCTCGAATTCTCTGTTCTTGACGTCCGTTGATCCCCAGTGCATGTTGAACCAGGCCCCTCTGCCGCGCGTGGTATATTCGGGCAGACAGCAGAACATTATATAAATGCGTACATAAAAGTTCGAGAAGTCATTGACAAAGATTCATCAATCTTTCTCGCCATGGTACTCCCCGAGCAAGACCCTGTTTTAGCTCTTTTCACCGAGTCAGCTGATCGCTGGCCCGATCATGTCGCGGTGGACGATGGGCCCAAGGGCTCGAGAACATACCGACAACTGAACGAAGAATCCAGCTCCCTGGGAGCATATTTGAAGGCCAAGGGAGTGAGACCAGGGCATATAATCCCTATTGTTACAACCACCTGCATACAAATGGTGGTAGGCATCCTTGGCATTATCAAAGCGGGCGCTGTGTATGTCCCCATCGACCGAGAACGAAGTCCCCGTCACCGCATAGAGTATGTTCTGAACAAAAGCCAAGCCAAGATCGTGCTCTATACGGGGACAGAGATCTCCGCCGGTCAGGCAAGAGCAATTCACCTGCCGGCAGCTTCGGACCCTCCTGCCTATAACGGCCAGGTAGCCAACCGTATCGACGATGTTCTAGCTATCATATTCACCTCGGGAACAACGAATAAACCCAAAGGTGTCCGGGTCAGGAGCAGCTCAGTCGCGCGGTTTGTCACTTCTCCAGGATTTAACTACGACGTTACACAGGCCGATCGGGTCTTGCTGGTCTTATCTGTCGGCTTTGATGGTACGTGTCTCGCAGTCTTGCGTCGACCCATTCCGATCACCCCAGCGTCTCATGCTAACGGTAAAACTCGCAGCCTGCATGGGGACTATTTTCAACACACTGTGCAATGGGGGCATGTTAGTCCTGGCCGACTCGGAAACTCTGGCAGAGCGCGCAAAGCAAAGCACTATCATCACTGCCACCCCTTCGATCTTGGCGGCGCTCGGGCCCCCTATCCCCGCCGAGTATTCGAAATTGAGGCGCATTATCTTGGGGGGTGAGACTGCCTCAGAGCAACTGCTAGACCTATGGGATAGTCTACACGTACCGATCTGGATTGCCTATGGGCCAACAGAGGCTACTTGTGCCGTCTTGACTCAGAGGTTGCGACGTGATCCACAGACCCGGAGGTTCTTGCCCACGCGGCTCGGACATCCGATACCAGGATCCAAAATCATGTTATTAAACCCAACCGACATGAGCATCATCAATGAGCTCAAGACGCCCGGGGAGATCGGGATTGCAGGGCCCTGTCTCTCCGCCGGCTACCTCGACGACGAGATGCAGACCAATGAGAAATTCATTTACCTTAGTGAGCATACGATATACCGAACCGGAGACATGGCTGAGTGGATTGAAGATCATGATGGCACACGCACTCTGGACTTCCATGGACGTGAAGATCGCTTGGTCAAAAGTCGGGGGTTCCTAGTCAACCTGGACCAGGACGTCGACCAGGGCATCATCCGAGCGTGTCCTTCCGTGCAAGCGGCCTACTCACTGAAAATCAATGGATTGATATGTACAGCCATTGTGGGCTCGCAGGTCGATACCGCAGAGTTGCTGACTACCTGGAAGTCGATGGCGCTGCCCTACGCCGTTCCCGACCACCTCATTCCCTTGCCCAGCCTACCCTTGAGCTCGAATGGCAAGCTGGATCCGCATCGACTCTCTTCCATCTTGGAGAAAACAATAGCAAGTCCCAAGGAAACCCAGAGGTCAATGGCTTCATTGAACCAGTTGAATAAGACGCCGAAGCAAACCGTCCTGGCTTGGTTCCAGGATGAGTTAAAAATTCCTCTCACTGAGATTGACTTGAATGCTTCGAGTGTGTCAATGGGAGTCAGTTCACTCGCTGCAGTCAGACTATCCTCCTTCTGCGGTCAGGCTGGCTATGTAGTCTCAGTGGCTGATATTCTGGAGGCACCGTCACTGAAGGAGGTCATTGCCCGATGTAAAACATCATCGACTGCGCCCAACAATAAGTTTTCCAGCCAGCAGAGAGATCCAGTGACGCATTCAAATCTTAGCCCTCTACAACACAAGATGGTTCTGGAAACGAAGGTTGACCCTCATGTGAACTATGCACAACACATCTCCCATTATCGCACCGAGGATATCAGGCACATCAAGAAGGCATGGGAGACTGTGGCCCGGGCGGAGCCGCTCTTTCGGACAGCTTTCACGGAAACTGAATCCGGAATCGTTCAAGAGGTGGTAATGGAGAGCCAATTTCGCTGGGAGGAGCGGGCAGTTCACACCTCGCAGCAAATCGAGGACCATATGCATGGAGCAATAAAACGAACCGGTCTGGGAGTGTCGGTTTTGGTGTTGCACCATGAAGGTATTCAGCTGCCACAAGGCGAAAGTGTACTGGTGTGGACCACCCATCGGGCTTTGTTGGATGGATTCTCCAGTCTCCTGTTATTGGGAAAACTGGATATGGCGCTTGAAGGACACAAATTCGAGCCCTCCATCCCGTTTGCGCAAGCAGCGATGGATCTACACCAGCTGCGCGGACGGATGAATGAGGAAGCATGTAGGTTCTGGAAACATCGTCGGAAGGGGCTGTCAGAGTCCAAGGGCGAATTCAATATCCCTGACACGCTGTCCCAGGACAAGGACTGCTGGGCCAATATACAGTACATCCACCCAGAGCCTCTAGACAGGGGGCAACTGAGCCAGAGGGCGAAGCAATTAGCCGTCACCCCAGCCTCAATACTACATGCCGCCTGGGCCTTGCTGGTCTCCCTGTACGCTGACTCCAGCCAGGTATCGTTTGGGATGGTGCTTTCCGGCCGGGATTTGCCTTTCACCTGGGCCCCGTCGGTAATCGGCCCTTTGATCAACCAGCTGCCATACAGTTGCGCAATCAAAAGACAAATGTCCGTATCTACCTTTGTCCAGAGCGTTCAGAGGGACATTCGCGACCATGCGCGAGTCCAGCTTTCTGAGGCACCGGTGGGCACCCCGCCGATTACCACTCTGCTCGTGGTGCAGGAGGCCGACATGCGCAAGCGATCAGTGGTCCTGCCCCCCTTACGTGAACCACGTCTGAGGGAATCTACCAGCCTGCCTCTAGTCATGGAGGTGCAAAGCACGGGCGAGATGCATCTTTTGTATCGCAGCGATCGGTTCAATGCTCAGACAGTCCAGGACGTGGCGGCTATCTTCAGAAACATCGCTCAGCTTCTCACTGCCGATGCTGAATGTCTCACTGTAGGGCATTGCCTTCAGCACAGTCTGCCACCGCCCATGCAGCACTCCCTCCTGCAGCTGGGTAATATCAATCGACCAGAATCACGAGTGACAAACACAGGACCGACACTGGGCAGCTTGTTTCGGAACACGGTGCGCCAGCATCCCAATCTCATCGCTGTAACAAAGGACACAATGTCCGTCTCCTATCGCCAACTTCTGGACTCCGCTCAGCGCGTGGCCTATGCCGTTCTCTCACACGCGCGGCCAGGAGACGTTGTTGCCGTGATCGCCGATCGTTCTATTAACTGGATTATTGGAGTTTGGGCTGCGGTGCTGGCCGACACCGCCTATTGCCCGATCGATGCTTCATTTCCAACGGAGTACCAGGTATCACTAGTGAAACAAAGCCACGCCACCCTGGTGTTATTTCCATCGTCAGAACAACGGATGCATTGGTGCTCCCAAGAATGGCCAGCTCTTGCGACCGAGGATGCTTTACAGAGCGCGAAAGTGCCTGTTGCTGGGCCGTGGCCAACGCAAACGCCCAGTGATGTGGCATACGTTTGCTTTACCTCAGGATCCACTGGTGTTCCTAAAGGTAGGTTCGAAATCCCTTTCTCCCAGGACCAATCCTGACAGCTGATATTCTATTTTAAATAGGTGTGAAGTGTCTTCATCGGGGACTAGTCGCCCTTCAATCCCGCGAGGAATACCGAATTTTCAGTCAGCCAGGACGTCGGATCGCCCAATTCCTCTCGCCTGGATTTGGAGGCTGCGTATTTGAGGTCTTTGGTGCCTTGTGCTATGGGGCTACTTTGGTGCTCCGAACGAAGGACGATGACATATTATCACATCTGGACCAGGTGGACGCCACCATTCTTACCCCGTCCGTTGCGGCAGAAATGGTTCCATGGCAGTTTCCGAGAATCAAATATGTTGGTCAAACTTGTCCCAATCTGTAAAGGCTCTCGAGACGCCATCTTTGACACCAGTCTGCTCCTAGGTTTATTTTGCTGGCGAGCCGGCCACAGAGCCCATTGTGGCCCGCTGGTGGTCCCCAGATCGGCAGCTGTACAATGCCTACGGATCTACCGAGGTAAATTCTTTGCTTCTTCTGCTTTCAATGTGCTTTTCTAATGGGACGCGCTCTGCCAGGCTACTGTGATGAATACATTGGGCTCACTAGACCCTGACCTACCCATATGCCTGGGTGGTCCAGTCCCGTCCTCCAGATTATATGTTTTGAACGGGGAAGGGGAACTTGTTCCACCTAATACAATAGGGCACATCCACATCGCGGGTGTACAGGTGAGTGATGGGTACATTGAGACGGCACCAACGAGACGCGGAGAGTTTCGGCCAGACCCGTTTTGCGATGGGCAGGAAAGGATGTATCACACGGGTGATCTGGGCCACTTTGACCATGGGGGTAAGCTTTGGTACTGCAGCCGCAAAGACCGCCAGGTGAAGGTTCGCGGATATAGAGTCAACCTCGACGATATCGCTCATGCAGTCTACCGCCTCGTGCCCACAGTACGGAAGGCCGTGGCGGTTCTCCGCGAGGATGGCAGCATTGTGCTCGTGCTGTGCCCGAAAAAGGTGGATGAAGCTGGCGTCCGTGAAGCCTTGCGCACCGCCCTGCCCCCTCATTATCAGCCCTCCCAAATACAGACACTGGAGAATATGCCGACGACAAAGAACGGAAAGATGGATTTGCAGACACTGAAGAAAGTCAACGCGAGGGGAGTCTCCGGATCGAGACCCGAAAAGGCGGTCGACACCCCCCTCAGCGAAGCCGCTCGAGCTATAGCTGGAGCCTGGAAACACATATTGAGCCTTGATCCTTCTGCTAAGATAAACGAAGATGATGACTTCTTTGCGCTCGGTGGAGACTCTGTCTCGATGCTCAAGCTAGCGCGAGAGCTGAACGATATCTTTCAAGTTCGTGTGACGGTCCGCGATGTGTTGTTGCGGTCTGTCCTGCGGGACCTTGCAGCCTTGGTTGAGACGAGCCCCAGAACAACACTCAATTTACCTCCAGCGCCGGAGAAGAGCCCTGATCGGCTCGGAACGACTAACCTGTCTCCTCCGGAAATGTTATGGGTACATTACTATACCACCTCCCAATGTCCAAGCGCGTTCAATGTTCCATTCCATGCCAGCCTGTCGCCACACCTTGATTTGAAAAGGCTCGCCTCGAGCGTAGAGGGGTCACTAAATCGCCACCGTATCCTGCGGACTCGCATTAAGAAGTCTCATAACGGGTACACGCGCACCATCTCAGACGAACGCATCGCAGTGCGCTTTGAGACATCCATCAATGTTGGGGAATGGATCAGTCAGCCGTTCAAACTCGAAGGAAGTCTGGTCCGAGCCGCTATGACCAAAGATTCTTTACTCCTCAATTTCTCCCATCTGCTCTGTGATAATGACACCTTGACGCATCTTCTACAGGAAATTGGGGATCTGTATTGCGGTAGACGAGTATCTGCTGTGACGCACGAATACTTTGACGAGCAACCGTGGTCATTCCCGGTACCAGTGCCGAAAGAGTTGCAAGCTTATTGGAATGACCATTTGACGGGCATTGAGGTGCCACGTCCTTTAGCCACACAGCGAGTCCGTTCTTACCGTGGAAGCTCCATGCAACCCACAATCTCCAGTAAATCAGCACAGAGGCTCCTGGACACTTGCGCCGATCACCACGTCTCCCCGCGGTATTTTGCCCTGGCTATTGTGGCGATTACTTTGCAAACGTTGGCCGATACTCGAGACGTCCTAATCGGATGCCCATACATCAACCGCCCCAATGAATCTGGCGCTGAAACGATCGGGCTTCATCTTGAACCGCTCCCTCTTCGCTTCACCTTGTCAAATTTCTCAGAACCCACACAGATTGTTGAACATCTGCTGCAGGCAGTGAGGACGACGGCTCAGGCTGCTGTCGCGCACGCGGTTCCGTGGCATGCGTTGTTGGCCCTGTTGGGGCTCCCGTTTCCCTTCGGCCACGAGGCCGTCTTCGACTGCGCCGTCACCTTTCGGGAAGACCGGGGTGTGGAGATTACCCAGCGGCTCCCAGACATTGAGGGACTGATGCCGCGCCCGGTGTCCCCCGATGGCGCCATCTTTGCTCTCCTGTTTGAGTGGCGCTTCACAGACGACGACCAGGGTGTGTCGCTGCGGCTCGGCTATGACACGGATCTCCTCTCCCCTGCTTTAGTGGGTGTGGTGAGTCGGGTGCTATGCGTTGCACTGGATAACATGCTTGATCTTGCAATGACGCAGACGCGGTTGCGACACGTGCTACGACAAGCCCTAGATGACGCTTGTCTGCGCGCGGGGTTGGAGCCTCTCTCTGTGCGGGAGTTGGCGCGCAAAAATCTGATCGGAGCTGTTTCCGGGGGTGTCTGACCTCCTTCTAACCATTTCTTGATGTACTGTGTAGTTGGGACGTTAGTAATAATTAGTTGAATCAACATAGTTTTTACTCTGCCATGGATGAACCGCGTTCTTAAGTTGGACCCCGAATAGCTTGAAGTGTTGATGATTAGTTGTCTGATGCTAACCCAATCTAGCCAACGGAGTTGAGATCCGTGATCACCTAGGCTGGTGATGCCAAGGTTTGGTCTTCATTTCTGTGAATGATACATGGCAGGTTGACTCATCGGCGAGGAATAGGAGCCACAGGGAAACCCCTTTAGTGAAGAGGCTAGTGTGGATCAGGGAATTCAACAATCCGGTGGGGGCGACGCTAATCTCAATCATGGATCCATGAACCAAACCAGGCGATTCTCGAGGACAAGACCCGGGCACGACTGGTGAATAGGCTATATCTGGATGTCAGCGCTTGGGCCGGTGTAAATACCCTGTTCCTCCCATTCATCCTGAGCCCTGTACTCATTGACACAGTATTATACGCAAGAAAGATATATCAATCAAAGCAATCGCGACAAGCAGATTCTCCAGTTACGCAGATTTATGAAGCTCGCCCCGCGTCTGAAGGAGCTCCCTCGTCTACGAAGCATGTGCTCCGCTTTCATCAGGGCTGTTATGTCGAAGATACCTGGAATGACGCCCATCCGAATGCTGCGTTCCGCTCCTGCGTGATGGGTGAATTCATCGCGGCGTTGGCATCCCTCGACGAGCCTGTCAAGGAGCTCGCCCTGTGCAACCTCCAGAACATCAACCCGACGGACCTTGAGGTGGTCCGAAATCTCACCAAGATTTTGGGCAGTCTGCGCGCACTGCGGCTGAATATCACGAATGAACATGACGGAAACGGGGAAATCGATCTGGAGGTGAGATGCTCTCATTCTTTCTTCTTGTCCTTGGTTTCTCGCATCGCTACCCCAGGCTCTGACCCAAATCTCAGCAAGACGAACCGCACAAATTCTTCCCCGAGCTTCCCTCCTTCTGGCTGGCCCCGGCGGCCGTGACCCTCGAACACCTGACCATCTATTCCTGCAACTACTTCGGCTTCTACCCCAAGCTAGATCTTCGAGAGGTCCACCTCCCGCACCTAAAGACGCTCGCTCTGGGCAAATACGCGTTCGTTCACGACTCCCAACTCGAGTGGATCCTCTCGCACGGCAAGACCCTGACCGAGCTCTACCTCGGCGACACCTCGATCCTCTTCGAGGTCTCCGTCTACAACAACGACCGGGCCTGCCTGGAACCCAACCAATACACCCACAAAGCTGGGCTGCGCAATAAACACTTCGCGACATACGACAAGCGCTGGCACCACTACTTCCGGGCCTTTCAGCTGGGGCTCCCCCATCTGCGTCATTTCCGCTACGGGCGCTCGGGGTGGTGGTGGCAAGAGGACATGACGCCCCTGGAGCGCGAGACGGAGATTACGGTTGGGATGCATGACGAAAGTTACATGGTCTTCTGCGACGGGTTCGGGCCGACTCCGTATATGAATACCACGATCTATAACACCGACGACGACGAGCCCTCCTATGAGGGTGAGGGCGTGGATTGCATGGAGGAGGATCAGCAGGCGTTGAAGAAGCTGCTGGAGAAGATTGGACAGCCGCTGGAGGTAGTGGATTAGAGACACTGCCGATTCAGAGGCCTAGCGGGCCACTTGCCAAGGACGTTAACCAATATTGAGTTAGGCTGCAGAGAAGGTTTTCGCTCACTCTTCGTGTTAGTGAAACCCAGATGGGATGAACCCGATGTCACAAGAAAAAGAAGCTGAAGGCATAGGAGATGTTGATTGCCGGTCCATCTGGACTGACCTGCTATGCTTCGGGCATTCTTTGCGGAACGAGACTCGAGAACCCTTTGATTGTGGGCCTTAGGGCCTGGGTCACCGAGAAGAGAGCTATCACGTGTGGTGAAAAACCTAGCCCCGCAATATGCTGCCTCAGGCGTCGATAAATCTATTGCCTTACTTTTGCCCTCTCACATGTATGTTCGTATCTCGTGATCGATTGGCCACTGACTGCAGTTATTCCGCCCAGAGGACTTCGCGATGTGATTGCAGCGCAGGTGGGCTAGACAAAATCTCGCAGCATCCCTGTTGTGGCCCGAAGTGGCAGCGCATACCGACGTCCTGATGCTCTGTATAAAATAGATTGGCGGGATGGCTATAATGGTCGACACTCCATTATATCATACTCAGAGCAGAGTGGCACACACACATGGAGGATCTCTCAAATGCCGGGATTTCCGCAAAGGCTCGGAGGAGTGGGTCTCGGGCGCAACTGATTAACCCGAGATAAAATCTTTATATCCGTGTCTCACTAAAATCGCAATCGAGATCCACAGCAAAGATCACCAGGTGGCTTGTTCACACCTCAGCGTTCGGAAATCCGGATATCCCAAAATGCCTCGGCCTCGAAATCGGCATGCCGACCACCCCTGAGACTCTACGATTTGCGCAACGATTCTCGGGATGTTGAATCGGCAGTGAACTGACACGAGCATATATCTGTTAAGACCATGTGAAGACCTGCGTGACCCCCACGAATAATATTTACCATGGTTGACATTCAACTCATCACCGGGCGAGCTCTGGTCTCTTACGGTCCTTACAAGGATGGAGGCTGGAAGCTGCGCAACGTTGCTCTGCGACCCATCCGTGAGCATGAGCTGTTGGTCGAGGTCATTGCCTCAGGCGTCTGCCAAACTGACCTACATTTCGCCGGGCTGGAAAGTGGCCACGGCGTGCATTATCCGCGGGTGATGGGCCACGAAGGTATTTCCCGTGGTCCCCCTACCGTTGCATCTCTTCAGGGGTGTATTTGAACACGATACTGACAGGCAGCCTTCCCTTACAGGAGCGGGATACGTCCGACAGGTCGGACCCGGTGTTACCTCAGCGCGCGTCGGCGACCCAGTCCTCATGTCTTTCTCCTCATGCCAGACGTGCCGGTGCTGTCGGCGTGGCCACCCCGCTCACTGCCACAATTTCGACCCCATCAACTTCGAGTCGACGTCCACGGACCGCGTCTTCTGGGAGGAAGGCGCAACAACACCACAGACAAGCGAACCAGACATCTTCGGCCGGTTCTTCGGACAATCGAGTTTCGCTAGTTGGACGATCGTGCAAGAGTCCGCGGTGATCAATGTGGCGGGCATGGTCGAGAAGAAGGAGGAGTTACAGCTGCTGGCCCCGCTGGGATGCGGGATCCAGACGGGAGCAGGAGCGGTCCTCAATGCGGCGGGCGCACAACGAGATGATACGATCGCGGTGCTTGGGTTGGGGGGGGGTGGGCTTGAGTGCCGTCATGGGCGCGCGCATCGCGGGTTGTCAGACCATCATTGGGGTCGCACGCAACGAGGCCCGCCTCAAGCTGGCCCTCGAGCTGGGAGCTACGCATGTGGTTCGGATCGACCCCGACGCGGATCTCAGCCACGTCACGCAGGCTGTGCGTGCACTCACCGGTGGACTTGGGGTCGATGTCACGCTGGAAACTACAGGGGTGCCGGACCTCGTGGCCGAGGCCGTTCGTATGACGGCCAACAGGGGCAAGATTGTGCAGCTGGGGGCAGCGCCTGAAACGGCGACTGTCAATATCCCGATCCACGAGTTCATGGTGGCGGGAAAAGTGTTCATGGGGGTCGTCGAGGGGGATGTGGTTCACCGGGAGTTCGTGCCGCAGATGATTGAGTGGGTGAAGTCGGGCCTTCTGCCTTTGCATAAGATCGTTGGATTTTATCCGGCGGAGAATTTCGAGGAGGCGGTCCGGAATATGAAGAGTGGAAGGACGATCAAGCCGATTCTTCTGTGGTAGCTACTTTAAATACTGGCAGAATAGATGCGCAGAGGCCCCAGACAGGGGATGTGTGTGTATAATTGAGCTAGCCTGGATCGCTACCCATGCATTGCCTCGTGACGGACGATGCGGTTCTCCTGTGGTTTCACATCGATCAATTGTAATAGAAACATCGTTCAAACATAACTTGCTACTTGACACCTCTGTGGACCCAACCTTCGCGGAACGGCTCGCGCATCCAAGAGACAACACATGAAAATAATTAAAGCTAGGAACACATGAGCGAGAACATGTAAGAGACATAATCAGGAAAAGGAATTTAGACGATGGCGAATGCGCAGCATGATAGACAATTCCGAAAGGGCGGGAAATAGACGGAATTAGCATTTCGTTGCATATGGAAAGTCAGTGAAGGGTGGAAGGTATGACTATAACCGACGATTGCTCGAGACAGAAGAGTCAATGGTTCATGCGTAACAGAGAGAAGAATGGACCTGGCCCTATTTTCCCGTTACATTCGTGCGGGAGGTCTTTAGTCCACACATAACCGGAATCCGAGGGCCCCGTCATTGCATATTAGCAGGGTGCTATCTGGCAGTGTCCTCCTATATCGGTGACAGGGCTGTGCAGCCCATATTCTCTCTTACGGCGAGCAGAGTAGTTTCAACCCCCTCGAGAACGGCGTACCTTCACCCAAACCGGTGGCCTTATGCCGGCTAAAAATAGGCGGCCGAAAGCCCGGATGACCGCCCGTCATATAGCCCCACAGACATCCTGGCACAGAAGAAAGACCGAATATATACACCCAGGGCTAAAGCCTTTCCACAAGATATTCCAATCAAGAACTATCTCGCCCTCTGCATCCTTCGAATATCTGGATCTTAGTTCCTATACCACCTCCAGCCAAACCCCATATCACGCCAACAATGGTCACCGCCACAACAACCGGCGCCGCCGCCACCTCCACAGCTTGCGGAACCTCCTATCAATACGAATTCCCAGTCCACGACGCCGCCTGTGGTGTGCCCAACCAAGCCAACTACTCGACCATTTTCGACTCGTGCGCGCTTCCCGCCGGGGTGAGGCCCTACGATAACGACTGTGCACTGTACGCCCTTGCCGTGGGGCAATCCGTGCAAGACCTGACCGATTGTCTGTACAAGGGCGGCGTCGCCTGGGCAGATGTCTGGTGCACCGGTGATGTCGATTCCACCGCGACCGCCACTTCCTTCCCCACCCCAACGAAAAAAATATCCAGTTCGACCTCCAAAAGCACTAAGGGCTCGAAGTCGTCGACTACAGAGTCTGGGACTGCTGCGACGGCGTCGGCCACTGGAGGGGCGGGCGCTGTGACCTTTACAACAAAGTCCGCGGTGGGATTGGTGGGCATTTTGGTGATGGCTATCTTGTGTTAGAGATATGAATGTGGGCAGTGTGACTTCAACGGACGTATATGAAAAATTCTTTGTAATGCTCTAGTTGGGGGGTTCTAATCCATTCGGTTGTGGTCGTGTTCGTGATCCATAGCCGAATAGAATCGAACGCAGCTCCTAAATACCTCTGAGTGCTGTTCCATTGTAAGGTAGTCATGCATGTATTCAAACGATAAGACGCGATAAGACGCCATGACAAGCAAGACTAAGCTCGTTACCACAAACCTACCCATTAAGAGATCAAGTACAATATGTGAGCGACCGCGACCAAGAGCAATGTGTAATGAACCGTTCTACTATCCACATATTTGATCGCTGAATGATATCAGCGGAGTTTATGTTACAATTGAAGGACGGCTTGTTTTCAGCAATGCGTGATGAAATCATAAATATATTGGATCTATAGATAAGTCATTGCGTCATACCTTCCCATGGAATGCAATCCCCGATGTTGTCCTGCTGTTTTACAGAGAATCGCGGAACCGAGCTCGGGATGGGCGCAGGCTCGGTGGCCACGATATGAACCGGGAAGTGAACTTCGAGAATTCTTGTCTGGACCTGCGTAGAGATTAAGCAATCAGAGAGTGCCTCCAATACCTTCGTGTTGTGTATCCTTCTGCAGGGGAAGAGTTTTCGTGATGATCACATACCTTCGATGGCCGGCTGTTGAAGCCCAGCCGCACCTCAAGCTTATAACTGCGCCGCACATTGCACGTCTCGAACGTCGGCGTGATCGCCGTCGGGAGGAGTTGCCCGCCCCAGAAATCATCCGGTATACTCACCGCCGTCCCGACGGGGGTTTCCGCCAGACAGACTAGCATGCGCAGATTGCTCACGGTTCGCAGGATGCGCGAGAGACGCTGGACCCGGACCTGGCCCGCGGCCCGCACCTCCGTTTCTTCGACGATCATCGCTTGGAAATCGTTCAAGATGAGGTCGTGATCGGCGGAATTGACCTTGGTGATTTGCACTCTGATGGGAAGTCGCTGGCCAAGGTGGAGATATGCGCCACACATGAGTTCGATGCTGACATGGTACGTTGTGGCTATCGCCGCCGTTACCTCGCGCGCGGTTGCTGCGTTGCTGCTCTGATGGCAGCGGATGATGACAGCGCGGTGTCGCGCGAGAGACTGCCTTGGGGGCGGGGGGCTGGATGTGGGGCAGAAGAATATTTGGCGGGACTGCTTCGTTGTGTCAGCAAGAGGGGCAATGTTGCAAGATGTGCATGTCACGCAACCTGCTTGATGGACTGCTTCAGGAAGCCGCCAATATGGACGTTGGCTTCGACGGCATATGCTATTTCGGCGGGGGCGGACCGATCACCCGTGCAGGGAGGAAGCCGGCGGAGCAAATGGGGCATCTCTTGCCCTCGGACGGGTGGCGTGGCCTCGGTTTGGGAATGTTTCTCCAGACATTTGGTCGAGTGTGCTTTGTAGCATCCCGACACCGTGGGAAACTGGCAGGGGACACTTTAGTCACTAACGGTAACATAGTAGTGATCTAGTGGGTACGTACCGCTAGGGAGAATGGAAATGTGTACTGCTTAGGCCCTAGGGTTCGGAACCTCGAGGTATCTTGATCCAGCTGCGCGCATGGGGGAAATATCTGCTCTGTCTCCTGAATAAGCTTGGGTTTGGTCAGCCTGCATTTCACCGGCACGCCACAGGTAATTTTAAAAACATACCTGGTGACATTCCGAGTGGCTCGACCCTTCCATTCTCGAAATAGACCGTCCCAACAGCGTAACAGTGATCTGCGATATGTCGACCGGGGAGTCTAGATTGAGGACCAGGTGGCCCGACATGGAATCGTTGTTCGTATATGTCGGCTCACGCTTGTCTAGTTCGATCTGTAACTCCATACACGAGGTAGGATCAAAGAAACTCATCATAAAAGACATGGAAGGTCAGCACAGTCAGGAAGATGAGATTCAGGCCGGTTATCATCTAATGCCGAAGACTTTGACCAAGAATCCTCGGACATTTATCCACTGCGCAAGACATAAGTTGTAAGTGACTTTGACTGCCGGCTCAGTGGGCGCATTTTCTTGGCCTTTGTCATGTTCTGGAGGAGCAATACTGCGGCTATTTTTGTTCGGGACTACGAGCATAATATCAAATGCAGCAAATTTCTTTCCCCTTCAGCTCCCACGTTTCACGTCTCTCTTTTCAGTAAGAACGAATTTCTTTCCGGCTGAAAATTGCAGAAGGTGATAACTTGGAAGGTTTACATAGGTACAGTCCCGAGTCGTGGGGGGGTTCGGCTTAAGAGCGGGGCGCGCGCTGCGGTGGGCTAAGCGTAACTGGGCATTCCCATTGGTTCGGGATAAGGATGGGGCCTCCGTACCCAATCATCCAGGCCCCGAGCCTTCGCTTCCAGTCACCTACCTCGTACCTAGTAGCTTGCCTGGATGTCTTCTCGGTCGCGTTCTTACAATTTTCTGGAAAAGGGTCTTTTAAGACAACTCTAGTCATTCTGCTACTGCTTTCGTAGGCCAGCCAATGTTGAAGTTTGGGCTTGACGGGTGAGTGAGACCTTCCGGAGCGACCGCGAGACACCCATAGTTACCGGGCTGTCCCTGAGGCCAAGCTGTCATTTGATTTACGCAGAAAGGCACGAATGAGATAAAGCAAGTTCCTAGTGTATCACCAGCGTGATCTGAATGCCAAGCCTACATTGAACTCTGACACCCACTATCTCTGATCACTTCCACAAAAGCAACGGCGCCTCCAGTTAGGGCAACAGACTAAACCTTGCCCTGCAAGTGCATATGCACTGTTTCTGATCAGTGAACCCCAGCTCAGCTCGGCCCCGCGGGCCCCGATAAGGGTGGCTGAACACAACGTCCACTGTTGCTTTATGCTGTTCTGTGCCATACATTTTAATGGCGAATGGTTGACCTCCCTCCTTGTATCACTACAGTTTCACTAGGAAAGACACGGTTCTTGAAAACTAGTGGTACGTTCTCGGGCGCAGTGTCGACGACGCCAAATAAGATCACTTGCACTGATTTACGTGTTTTTCTGGTTAGAACCAAGTGACGTTGAATTTTGTCATTCCTGATTCTAGGTTGAAGGTGTTCTTAGCGCTTTACATCCAATAGACTGCACACCCCTGGGTAAGACTAGACCATTTATCTGCCGACATTCCCTTCCCACGGTATAATTGCTACCACTTCAACCCTTTGACCCATTCGAGAACAGGGATTTTGTAACAGGGTTTGTTCAGGGCAAGGTGCGACTGCCTTATGACGGGCAAGACCGAACCAATTGGCATGTGTACTGTTCCGCTACCGTGCAATTTTGTGGGGCTTCAAGCCTTAAGGTTTGCGTGGTAAGAATTTATTTTGGTCCATTTTCCTGATTTGCCTGAGGGTGCATAACAATGCCAGGAGAAATATTACTAATCGCCAAGCATAAGTCAAGGCTTCGCCACAGTCAAAATAGCAGTCAAAATAGCCTGCAGGGCTTAGCTGTGCCTTACATCTCTTGCTTGGGCGTGCACAACTTGAAGGACTATTGTATAAGATAGCAATTACTGGAGCATGGAAACCTGATGCTCTAGGACAATGGTAGACTATGCAGGCCACAGACTACAATCGTCAACAGACCTACCCCTTTCCAGCTGTATGAAATTCTGCCCGCCGGTCTTCTTCACAGAGGTAATTAGGCTGACATTCACACAGTGCGACTCTTGTCATGCGCGGAAGGTAAATCACCATCTCTCTTCCTAATGTCAAATATCAAACCCTCTTTCGCAGTCTAGAGCACCAAAATTTACGTTGATCTTGTGTCCAGGTTCGGTGCAATCGAGGACTACCATGTAGCAATTGCCTTGATCAGGGTCTTTCTTGCCAAAGACAACGAACTCGGCGACGCCTGCCAAAAAGAATTTTGAAGCCTAAAGTTCAGACTACGAGTCCAGCGACAACCACCGTTCAGGCACTCGCTCCTAGCCGAGTTGAGCCGGTCGCATTGACTGAGACTGAAATTCCCATTGAACGGTCTGGCTTACAGCAAGAATCAAGGATCCATTCCGGAGAAATCGAAACAAGCAATACACCTGCAATCAGGTTAGAGGCAAAGCCTAGGAGCACTGATCAGCGAGTACCAGTTGGCTGTGACTTGGCTGCCTGGGTGCCACTAAACAGATCCATCGAGACTCACTTTATGATTCCGGGCCACATGGGCCATTTCGAGCACGGCTTGGTCTGCAAAGCGCAGGAAGTGTTACGTTCGGCTTTGGTTCGTGTAACTCATGCCCCTCAAGGGTCAAGTACAACCCTCCAGGACGAACGAGGTGTGCCTCTGGAATTTCTGACATGGATGTTACAAGGTAAGAGGCGTCCTTGACACCATGTTGAAAAGAAAAGGCCATGTGCGCTGGAGCTAATACGGCTTTGCTCGGTTGAACAAGATATTGGCAGTACAAAGTTTGGAATATATGTATCGGATTATTTCAAACATGTTTCCAAGACCACGTTAAAGCGCATGTGTTTGAGGCTGTTGTCCAACCATGTCTCGAATGACGAGAGACACATTTTTAGCGTCTGCGTCCACGCCGCCGCTCATAAATTCCTCATGACCGTTCTCATTATTGGAGAGCACGATGACGAGCTCGCCGACCATCTGCGAATTCGGTCGGCCGAATACAAACGCGCCGCACAGGCAGCGTTAGAGCGCATTCGACTCACGATCACTCCTTCCATCTCACTTCTTCAGGCCCTTCTTTGTGGAGTGGGTATATCCTCTACCTCACTTTTGCGATACAGTGTGCTTTTTCGATCTCTAACGCAGATGCAACAGGTTTTCCTTCATCAAGGCTCTGGCAATACCCACTTTTGTTACGAATTGACTCGGACTGCTTGTCGGATAGCCACTGACCTAGGACTCGATAAGGTGAGTCCTGACACAGAGCAGAAATCCAGGACAGAGGAGGAAATCTTCTGTGTTCTTTGGTGTTATATGCTAGATAAGAATTACGCGTGGAAATTCGAACCTTCGCGAACGTTCTTCGAGATCGAACCCGGAATGCTTGACGACCATGTTGATGGCACAGCCGCCGATCTTCTCGCAGTCTATATTGCCATGGCCCGAGTACAGGATGACACATTATCATTACTTAAGCACATCCTGTCGAACAGCTCACATTCAGTCCAACTTCCTCCGCGCTGTTCCGTCGAATCACTATTGCAGAGGGTGGATGAGATTGAGCAACACATTGAGCAGGTACGATGTTGCCTCGCCAGGCTCTATATTCCCGACGCATACTGCGTATACACTCTATAGCACGCGATCTGACGCTGACCGGAATGTAAGGTATCTGCGTCTTCGACGCAATGCTGGAAGGGCCTTGATGCTGAGAACGAGATTGCTGCCCTTCGCTTCGCTCACCACTCCATCCGAACCACAATCCTTTATCTCTCCGATCAATTTCAAGGGCGGGCCTTTGGGTCTAGAGACCTACTACTTCAATCTGCGCGCCAGGAGCTATCTTCATTATTATCTATATGTCTAATCAATGAGAAAGACCGTGCCGTCGGCTTCTTGCATTGGTCAGTAATTTGGACCCTCCCCTGTCATGGTCTTGCGCTATATCGACTGCATCGCTGACAAGGCCGCTACATCCAAATAGGACCTTAACTTTCTACCCCTTGACCGCGTGTTTCGTCTTGTTCTGCAACGCCGTGACGACGTCCAATCTCGGGGACTTGAACCTTCTCAAGATGGTAGCGACTTTTCTGTTGCCGAGTGTCTCGAGCAGCCATCCTGTCACGGTTATACAACATCTCTTTGAGGAGTTCATTGCACTCTCGCAGTCGCTTTTTTCAGGCACAGAGAGCCGCGGGGGCATGGTAGACGAATCTGGGGACGCCTCTACGCTTATCGAAGTGCAGCCTTCGCAACCCCACAATCAACCCTTTCCTACGGGCGACCCTATCTCCACAGCTCAGAACCCTGGGACAACCGTTTGGGCCGATACAACTACCACCCCTTTTCCCTCCGAATTTTCTGAATCATTGACGCCACACGAGAGGAACGTTTACCCTGCATTTGTAGACCCGTCAATCGCAATTCCCTTGGACTTCGAATTTCCCGCTGACTTCGCCGATTTCGTGCCCGTTACTTCAGCTCAATGACTTTAATAGCTATGAATACCCGTTATACCCAGATTGAAACTTTTGTATATATATATTGTTTGGCAGGTTCTTGCTGCAGCGGTTGGCCCACGCCACAGCCTCACTCTTGGCCATAGAATCCCAAGGTTTCCCAAGCCCGGCTGATTATTGCCTGATGCAGGGCCAATGGGCGTGATCATGTTTGCCTATCTCCCAAATATGTGTTTCGCGCATGTGATTTTGCACCACTCTATCAAGATGGAATTCAGCTCCTTTCAGGCCTTTGGCCTGCGTCATGTCATTTAGCATGAGATTGGAAGCTGTCGCGCTTACCTCGTTACCCTCATCCCCATCAAGCTAGTATGGCGAGCGGGCGCACCGGACACAGTGAAAAAGATTCTTACTCGTCGGGTATTAGGGCACGGTCCCGGACCTCCATCAACTCGTGTTGAGAAACAGTCTATGGAATCCTAAGTGTCCCTGGATGCATTCGTCGCTAGTTGCACCTCATACATATACACCTTAAAACATGGGATATTGAACCAAAGAAGACACAGGACATGTGGGCTTATAAAAGCAACGCACAGCTGACTTTTAAGCCTGAATAATTTACGAAAGTGTCAGGAACGTAGATATATGATCAGTTCAGTTACGTTACACTATCTAAAGACGGAACGACGTATCAACGTGGCGTGGCGGGCGGTAGGCAGCCTGCCTCCGGACCCCGACACCAAAATAACCAGGGCATGATTATGTTTTGCCTTAGTTCTTCCTAGGACAACGTTTATGCCGATGCCCCTCTTCTTCTCTCGATGAGGATCAACACATCCAGAAGAAATCCAGCAAAACTATCCTGAAAGTAATATTTTGGTCACTCGCATAATCCCGAATGCACTGAAGCCTAAGCCTCATGAATCTCCAACGCGTCCATATCATCCAACAGCTCCTCCATATTGATTTTTGGCACCTCACCATCAGTCCACTCGGTCCCCGCCACGCTGACCTCGTCATCCTTAGGTTTGTTCCTGTACAGCGCGAGGGTCGCCCGCAGCTCCTCATCCTCCTCCACATCCCGCAGGAACATCTCAAGATCATTCTCCACGCGGCTTTGCTCGTGGTCGGTGGGCAGCAGCTCACTCTCCCCGACCGCCATCCGCTTCAGCTTCCAATTGCGTTTGTTCTTCTTGTGCTGCCGCGGGTAGTGCTTCTTCACCAACACCACGTCGGGGATCCGGGAGGCGTAGGTCTTCGACTCCTCGAGGGCCTCGAACTCGGGGCTGTTGAAGTTGGCCCCCGTTATCATGTAGCCCAGCACCGAGTCGCCGGGGTGCAGGATGCTCCCAAGGTGCGATCGCGTGAAGTACTGCCGGTCCCCGCCGAAGTCCGAGGCGCGCGCGACCGTCACCTCGGCGAGCTGCCACTTGCCCTCCCCTTGGCCGGTGAGATCGATGTCGAGGACGATGAACTCGACGAGGTTGGGCGCCTCCGCGAGCGGCGTGAACGGCGCCCGCCAGTAGATCTTGGGCTGTAGGTCGGCGGTCTGGAGAGTGTTGGGGTCGAGGAAGGTGATGGACGTGCCGACGCGCTGGCACAGCACCAAGGGGGCGATGTTGCCGATCTGCCGCGCGAGCTTGATCGGTAGTGCGACGAGGTCATCCTTGCATACCGGCACGAGTTTGACCGAGTAGCTGAACTTGTACGATTTTTTGGACGTGTGGATGTTCTCCGAGATCAGCGTCTGGGACTTGGTGACCTCGATGGGCACGACGGAGTGCAGGAAGTCGACGAACGCCTCCGCGTGGTTCCGCTGCGCGAAGAAGAAGTCGACCCCGTTGCGCGCCTCCTTGATGTTGATCGTGTCGTTGTGCGCTTTGTGCTTGAGGATCAGCTGCTCCAGGTAGAGGAAGGTCCGCTTGTGCATGACCGCCTGGCGCACCTGCACGCTGGCCCGCCAGTGGTTGTGCGTGTACGACTTCTTGCAGTCCGGGCACTGCAGGTACAGCACGGCGTACGTGACCTCGAAGCTCTGCTGCACGAGGGCGTCGTTGTCCAGGGAGTCCTGGACGGTGAGCTTGAGCTTGATGCGCCGCGAGTGCGGCTCCGTCCAAATGAACGAGGCGTCCATCACCCGCACTTTGTTGAGGCGTTTCAGTTTGCGCAGGCACAGAGCCAGTAGCTCGCGCGACTCGGGGGCGGCCACCGTCCAGGTTGCCGGGGGTGAGAGCCATCGCTCGCAGTCCCGACAGTAGTGTACGACTGCGTCGCGTTGGATGCCCGCGGAGATGTCGACCGAGGTTTTGATGCAGTCAGTGCATAGTGTCGTGCCTGTTAAGGGCGCACCGCACTCGTAGCATAATGTCCTGGGGAAGAGGGTTTAGCACAAGGAATAATAGGGAGCAAATGTGATTTCAGTCACGTACGTAGGAGTAGACACTTCGCTGTTGTCCAGCGTTATTGCTATGGGAATCTCCTGCTCCATCTTGACGAAATTTGGGTGGCGATGATTGTTGATGTGAAGATGAAGCCGCGGGGTTGCTTGATAAGATTAGAAATACACCCGTTCCTCTTATCGTCATCAGCAGGCACGTGACTGTAAATCTTGCTGATTATCAATCAAGGCGGTGAAGGAGTTGAGACGCAGATGCAATCGATCGATCAATCATAGCACTTCTATCACTTTTTTTAGCACCTGTGTTTGCAAACGAGGAGAAACCGTACCAGGTCGTATATCACTGAGATAGTGAAGCTCTACCTAAATGCTTTTTGTTCTTGAGTACCATGCTACTTAAGTTCATTCGTATCAAGAGAGTACTCAGCGCAGAAGATATGTATTTATCCTGTGCTATTTGTGCATGGGACCTTTCGGACCTTGGTTCATTACAAGCCCGCGAGATAACCATACCCATGGGCTTCTATTTTTAATACCGTGCTATATGGGCGTTCGAAGTCCTACAAAGACATCAAGCGTTGACTTTGGTAAATTCCGCACTGAAGGGATAGTCGATGTAACCCCTTTCTTGTATAGGAGTATAGAAGCTTTCTCGATGATACGGGTTGAGATCTAGTCCTTGGCGAATGCGAAACGGCAAATCAGGGTTCGCAAGGAAATGGCGTCCAAAGACTATGGCGACTGTGTAGTCCTTATAGTCATCTTGAAGAGCAGCTTCAGCGTTCTCCGGCGTATATCCGCCCGCAACAAGGACAGGGGAGGTTTTGCCCCAGATGTCCAGAAGGAACTTGTTACTTTCCCCTTGTTCACAGTCCACATTGTTGATGACCCGCGACTCGATGAGGTGCAGGTAAGCCAGGTCCAACTGCCTCAGCTGCTCCACAAAATAGGCAAATTGAGGAACGGGATCGGCCATCTTCATACTTTGCCAAGTATTCCACGGACTGAGTCGAAACCCAACGCGGTCAGCCCCGATAGCATCCACCGCAGCCCTGGCGACTTCCAGCCCAAACAGTGCTCGATTGGAAACACTGCCGCCCCATCGATCGACGCGCTGATTTGACACATCTTGAAGAAACTGATCGACTAAATAGCCGTTGGCTCCGTGGATCTCAACGCCGTCAAACCCAGCTCGGATTGCATTCTTCGCCGCTGTCGCAAAGTCATTGACAATGTTCAGGATCTCTTCATCGCTCAATTCTTTGGGAACGGGCATTCCAGGGTCCATCGGAATCGCACTGGGGGCGTGGAGCTCATATCCGCCATCTGCACGAAGCACGGCGGGATCAGCCGCTCTGCCCAGCGCAATCAACTGACAATAAATGAAGCTGCCCTTTGCATGCACGGTGTCGGTGATTTCTTTCCAGCGCTGGATCTGGGGCTCGCTCCAAATTCCAGGCCCATGCGGAATGCCGCCTTCGGGGGCTGAGATCTGGGTGGCTTCGGCGATGAGCAGCGTCCCTGACACAGATGCTCGTTGCTCATAGTACGTTTTGGCTATGGCTAAGGGGACGTGTTCTTCGTCGGCGCGGAGTCGAGTGAGCGGAGCCATGACAACTCGATGCTCGAGATGAAGGTTTCCAATCTGCAGAGGCTCGAAAAGCTTGTAGGGCGTCATGGCGAGTCGGACTCGGTGTCGCTGTGTTCGTAGTTTGTGGTATTTCTCTTGATAAAGGTCAGGTTATGCGAAGAACGGTTGATTTTCATGATCTCGAATGACTCCCTCAGCTGAGATTTATGATTGAAATCGTTTTGGAGGCCCTTGGAGATCATTTTCTTTCGCCACGGCTGATACCGACGGCGGATGGGGCTGTGGAGCATTTGTGGGTACCACCTCCATACCACCTCCAACACCTCCAACGTCACCCAGCATGAGAAACCGACAATGAAAAGCCCAGGACTAATGAAGTCGGGTATGCAGAGAGCTCATATGTCAGTATGCATATTGATTGTCCCTGTTCATTGAGCCTTCATAAGCTCTGTAGAGTACCTTGAATTCGCAATGGACTGTACCCTACCTGGCCCGGGAGGGCGGAAAAGGTCGATATCATCTACCGACACATGCGCAACTTGACCACAGCATTGAAAGTAAGAAGAGCCGTGCAGGATATGTGGCTGCTAGACACACATATTGAGTTTGGGTTCGAAATGTTTAGGCGATGCCAAGCTGTCATAATTTACTTTGCGTAGAATTCCAATAGGAATCCTTCGACGTTGCCGAGATGCCCCCGAAAGGTCCCACGTTATCTCCACGCAGGCAAGTCGCCCCTATTATTGCACCTCTTCAGCAGCAATGATTATAAAATCTCGAAGCCGGACCATCGGAATTGGCGAAAGATTATTGAAACAACTTCCATCGCACACTGTCCTCTCATCTACAATATATAAATGTGGCATCCCTCACCTATGTCAACGAAGATGGTGCTGGCCAGAAGTACAGCGATCTCTGCCACTACTCCCAAGCTGTTCTACTCCCCGGAAATATTGTGAAATGCGCCGGACAGGGTGGTTGGACCAACTCGGGGAGTCTCGATGCCAGCGATACCCGGAAGCAGATCGACCTAGCGTTTGAGAACGTCGATAGAGTGCTTCAGACTGCTGGAATGAAAGGGTGGGAAGATGTCTATCTTGTCCAAACTTACCACGTCGACATGGACGCCTCTTACGACTATCTCGTCGAGAAGCTCAAGAAGCGTATTCCTGGCCACCGACCAGTCTGGACTGCTATCTCAGTTGCCCGCCTTGCTTTCCCGGAGATGTTGATCGAGGTCGAGGTCGAAGCATTCAAAATCGAGGCCTGACGTTTCCTTCATTCTATGTCCGTTGTTAGGTAAGGGTACTGACTTGCTCTGATCTGAGTGTGTGCTAATGACCAGAATGTTCCTCCAGGTTCAACCACCCCGCTTGTTATGTAGGCGAATCTTGTGGTGGCACAGTTATAGGTATCATTAAGACATTTTTGTGATTCTACTCTTGGCATGATATGGAGGTATGATGCACATGAACGATGAAGGTGTCGGGAAGCATGAGTGTAGTATAGATGTATAAGTCCCTAGTTAATGTAATCGGACACTGAGCCGGTGTGACACCGAGCCGGTGGCCGCCGCGCCGCGTCTTGCACCCCCAGTAACTTGAAGTTAAAGAACTTGCCCAAACCGCCCTATATTAAAATATCTTGTAATTCTTTTAGTATTTTTTTTATATATTAATATGGCTGATACAGATAAATATTTAAATCTTACTGTTAAAACCTTTAAAAGTAGAAAGTTTGCTACAAAGGCCGCCTGTACTGCTGTATTTAATATTAAAATAAGTACTTTTAAAAATTATTTAAATAGTATTAAATTATATACTAAAAAAGATGCTAATTACAGAAAGCTATCTGTAATTAAAAAAAATATATTAAAATAGTAGTTTTTTAATATAGTCTACTAAGGGCTGTTTTTTAAAATCTGTAATACTTAATTTTCTGTTCAGCTGCTATATTAAGCAAAGTTAAAGCCAAATTAACAGGGCACTATATTAAAATATTAAATTACTTACTTTATTAAATATTATCTAGAATTAATATTTAAGTTTATATTAAAGTATAATTATTAATATACTAAATATAAGGATTTTTATCTTATTTAAAAATAGTTTAATCTTATTTATAATATAGTCTAAAAATATAGCATTTTTAATAAAAATATATAAAATATAGATAAGACTGGATTTTAGATAAAAATTGCTTTAACTGCTTATATAATCTATAGCTTAAAAATATAAAAATTATATATTAAATATATACAGCTAAAAAACTGTAAATAGGTAACTTTAATTATTATAATTTTAGTTTTAAAAATAGTACTGCTACTATAGATTATCTTTACAGTACAGAATTATTAATTAATATAGTATAAAATCTGCCTAAGATTATATTATTTAAGTATTAGCAAAAATAGCTGGACTACTAATAAACTTAGTTTTAACTGGCTTTAGAATATATTTAACAGATATACAGCTTTAAAAACTATTAGTAAATATTATATATTAATTTTTAACAGCTATAGTAGTTATACAACTTAGTAGTTTAATTAATTTTATATAGTATAGAAAATTATTTTTTTATATATACCAGTCTACTTGTTATATAAACTGCAGCTGCTTAATATTATATATTTTAGGCTATTAAAAAAGTTATATAGCTAGTATATATTTAAAACTATTTATTATAAAAAAAAATTAATTACTAAGTTTAATTTTTTACAGCTATATTACAGTGTATATACTAAGATCTTTTTTAATATTAATATACTTAGTAGATTCTGTACTACTGGTCTTGTTTTTTTAAATTTTTAAAAGGTTTTTTTAATACTATAGATTTAATTAAAAACACCAAGTCTACTAATATTCTTATATTCTACTTAGTTTTTCTATTTTAGAAAAACGCCTGTAAATTTATATAAACTTGGAAGATAAAAACAAGAACTATAAAAACTTACAGATTAAGGCCTGGTATTAATAGTTTTATATAAAGTTATTAAAAAAGTAATTAAGGCTGCGGAATAGTCTATATAAAATATAGTTCTGTTTTAATAACAAGTTAAGCAGTTCCAGTCTATCTAAGTAAGTAAAAAAAAAAAGGAAAAGGCCTTATATTATTATATATAGTATAAAGGTACTTTAACAGGCCAAAAGAGCTTTAATATAGTTTAGATATAAAAAGTTAAAGCAATTTAGGCTGTGGTACTAAGACCGGCCAGGGTATACTAGCCAGCCTGCTGCAGTATATATAAAAAAAAATATAATTGCTTAAAATACCCTTATAAAAACAACAAGAATTAATATATATAGCCTTTTATTAGTGGTTTAATAGCCTTAGGAAGCGGCCAGCAAGGTAGTCAGCAAGGCGGCGGCAGACTGCCGCCGGCTCGGTGTTGCGCCGGCTCGGTGTCCGATTACATTAGGGCATGTCATTTACGTCATCCGTGGCGATGGCCACGTGACTGCTACCACCTCCATATCTCTACTCCGTAACGTCTCCATATCTCAAACGTCTCCATCCTAAATTCCAACTCTCCCTATCTTGCACACACTATCAGAATTATCTGCCATTCTCCAAAAAATCACATATGGAGTTGTCTTCAGTAGGGCCAACCCCGGAGTCATCATCAGCAGGCAAGCGAAAGCCTCGGATATGTTCCTTCTGCGAGCGATCCTTCCGGCGCTACGAACATCTCCAAAGACATCTTCGAATTCGTTAGTACAGAACTCCCGCGAAACCGGATGTGAGTCTATGAGGCTGAGAAAGTGGCAATTTTCAGATACACATGAGAAACCCTACGAATGTGACTGCGGTGCATCGTTCAGTCGGCGAGATCTGCTGAAGCGCCACCAAAGTATTGGCCACGCTCCGATTACTCCATCGACGGAGGACCCGTCACCTGCAGAGATTCACAATACCAGCAATGTCCAGTCTCAAGTAGAGTATTCCCATTCCAACCTCCAGCCATCTTTGCTGGAGCTAGCAGATCTTCATGACACCGCCCAAGGGCTTCCGAACCAGACTAGCCACTATCCCAATGTGCAACTCGAAGGTATGGTGTAGTAGCAAATTCCATTGGTGATTCGCGACAAACCACCGGACCGGGAGTGACTTTAATGTAGGGAATCCGCTCTTCAGCTCCCAGGATCTCCTGGTCCTGCAAGATCTGGAGATGTTCAGTAACAACATGGGGCTGAACAACGAATGGTATCTCCCGACCGAGCCTAGCATAACACAGATCTTCGCGGGCGATTCCGGCTTCAATCTCAATACAAACTCTTCTATTGCATCAGCACCTGGTGCATATCCCGTTGATCCTGATCAGGCTCTGAGCAAGTTACCAACCGAGAGAGAAGCGGTCGGTAAGACCATCTCGAACATCCATCCGAGCCTGAAGGTGCAGCTAAACATTGATGATAGCGGAATTCGGCGTTCTGACGCTGCCAATCCTGACGGTTACAAATCAGCATCGCGAACGCCTGCTTCAAAAGCTGACGCGGGCCCATTCAACTGAAGCGGTCAACAACCTGCCATCATGCCACTCGTTGTCACGGTTTGCAAATGGCTTTTTCGATGGATTCTATCCGCATTACCCCATGGTGCACATCCCAACGTTTAGGATTGATGAATGTGAGCCAGAGTGTCTTTTGGCCATGTGCGCCCTGGGTGCTGAGTTCCGCCATGAGAATCGCAAAGCGGCGGTGCTGTTTCATGCGGCTATGGATATATTGCGGCAACGAACGCGTGAAAGGCAAATGACGAATGGTGGGGGAGCCCTACCGCCTGGGGACACTATGACTTCATCAGATCAGGGATCTATTCCAAATCACGAGAGCTTGCAATACCGCGAAACCATACGCGACGCACGCTGCGCTTTTCTACTGATCGCTTTCGCGACTTGGCAAGGAAAGGAGGACCTAGCACGAGAAGCATTCAACCTTCAAAGCTTCCTGGCGCGATGCATCCGGGAAAGCCAGCTCGAGCAGGTCGACCGGGACCCCGATGCAAGTGCCACAGACTGGCAGTCCTGGGTCCAAGACGAGACTGATCGCAGGATTAAGCTGTTCTCTTTTGCCCTTCTGAACCTGCAGTCTCTCGCTTTCGGCACCCCCTCCGTGATCCTAACAGACGAGATTCGCGTTCGCCTGCCATGCAGCTGCCTGGAGTGGATCGCTCCAAGCTCAGACAAATGGAAGCGTATCCGAACCAAGCCCGGGTTTCGGGAGCAGATGATGTTTCACGATGCCCTCTGTCACATCATGAAAAACCCGCCGGCGCCGGGATTCCCAAACGCGCACCCGGTGCCATCGCCTCAGGCGAACTATATCCTGCTGCATGCGCTCATTCAGCAGATCCTCCTCGCGTATCGTGCTCTCGGGCCATACAATGATGCCAACAAATGTTTAATCAATGGCCAGAAGGAGATAATGCGGTAAGTCAATCTGCTCAATTTGCCTTCTAGCCAAAGACCCCATATTGCTTTCGGGCTAAGTTGCTCCCTTGTGCAAGGCACGCCCTTCACGCCTGGACTTCCCTATGGCAGCGCGCCCCGGAATCCAGCTTGGATCCGCGCAACCCCAACGGCCCCGTGACCTTCACCTCGACCGCGTTCCTCGGGGTTGCGTATGTTCGCCTCGGCCTCGATATTGGGTCTTACCGAATTCTTCGATCGCGAGACGCGAACGAGATAGCCAACCGGCTGCTACAGATGCCGCGCCTGCCCGCCGGGCCGCATCTCCTCCCCGCGATCCTGCATGCCACCCACGCCCTGAGTATCCCCGTCAAGCTGGGCGTGAACTTCGTGGCACAGAGCCATGCGTTCGTCTGGAGCATCCAACACTCACTCTGCGGACTGGAGTTCGCCATATTCCTCAGCAAATGGCTGTTCTGTATCGCGGACTGTCAGACGAGGCGGCCGCTTGACGGTATGTATTCTGCCGCTGGTGTGGTCGGAGAACCATGGACACAGTGGCGCTGACATGTTGACATACAGAGCACGAAACACGGTTGGTAAGCTGGATCACCGACATCGTCGAAGAAGGCCGAACCTCCGGAGACGAGGACCTGTGGGCCCGACCGTCGATCCCCTCGGACTGTGTCTACCTGGGCTTTGCCGTCGCGAAGCTGTGGGCCCGGTTGATCCGAGGCAATGAACAGTGGCTTCTCCTGAAGATCATCGGCGATGGGCTGGATATCTATGCCAACAAATGCGACCGAGATTCTGTTCGCTCTCAGGCTGGGGTTTCTGTAACCGCATGATGATATCCTTCCTATCTGGTAACATCCATCGAGGGTGAGATATCGGATCACGACTGGACGAAGAACGAAATCCGCGATGTGTATGAATCCATCAATACATTTCCTATTTTATCAGGCATTCCATCTTCGACTCACCATTTTATACAGTTTACATCAGCTAAGATATTGCACAATATGTTGACAGAATAGAAAAGCTTGTCTTCTGACGTACCATTGTTGGCATGCGATGCTCGATCCAAGTGTTAGTTCCTTTAGGCGTTGTGTTAGACAATAGAGTGGGAAAAGCCCAGTGGAGTGTAGATTGCAGGTATTGTCTCGTCGCTTGGCCACAAAGCACTAATTGGCTATTTTACGCATCAGGCTATTGGAGCTACAAACATTCCTAATTTGTGATCAAGAACCTTGGGAAATTTAACTGACACGGAGATGGTTCTTGAATTTTGTCTTGGATTCATTGTAGCGCTAAGAGGCCACTACAATGTCCGTCTTGTTCTTGGTGCACAATGTACCCATCTTGGAAAGATCCAGTCCGGAGATAACAGTGTTTGAATTGCCCACCAGGGGCTTGAAGGAAGACCAAGAACACCCATGTGGACGGTTGTCGTACATTGTGGGCGCGGACCACCACTTTGGGGGTTCGAAGGACAACACCTGCTGCACCAGCTTTTCATGACTTATACCCAAGAATGGAGCCACAGGCCTGGGGTATAGCAGACCGCTCGAATGCATCCTTGTACTGAGAGCTCCATACATCATTGAGCTGCACTCGAAGGTACAAGAGGTGGAGCGGAGCAGCCGATCTAGTTTGCCGTGCAGTTGCTGAAGAATGTTGGCGATGGCTGTGGTTCGCTTCTCCTTGATGAGACCTGGAATTGCGATTAGCTAAATATCTCTCTGATCTCTCAGGAGTTTGTTTCCTACCAATAATTGCACCAGGGATTGTTCAGCCGAGGCTGTCTACAGGCGAGGTGCTCCGCGACGCCGCCGCCGAGGTGGTTTGCCGGAATTGACTCTGGCGACCGAAGAACCACGAAATCCAGATCCACAAAAGGAGATCCCTGCAGTATGTGCTCGGGGGCTTCTGGTCCATTGAATCAAGCCAAGTCTGCGAGAAAAATCCCAGCGCTTCCTTGCATTGGTAGTAGTCCGCCACGACCGCGATCTTGGCGATCATCTCTAAGCTCAGCTTCCTCGGGATCTGTGAGTTCTGGCAGTGCAATACCTGGAGGACGATTAAGAGTGCTTCCAAGTCCCAACCCTCTGCGGCTATCCCCATGGGACCTGTTGCGAGGTGGGAGGTGGTCTCTTTCCACGTCCCGCGGAGCATATTCTTGAAGTAGGATGACGCGAGAGCTAGATGTTTTCCCGATACTAAAACACGGTGGACCTCTTTTGTCGCTTCCTGATTTAGTCACCAGAGATTTTGACAGATCGCACGTTGGGATTTCCCTCATGTTTGTCATTCTCATCTGTGCCTGATGACGAAGGTGAAGCCATCTCTGGGGATCCGGCCACGTTCCAGGGCGCAAACACATGGTTGGGATCGTGTAAGACGATCACCACATCACCCTCAGGATCAATGATGTGTATCGACAGATCAGTAACACTCATCATGCTCATTTCAATAAGTGTAATGATCAACTCAGATGTAGTACGGGAAAGTGTGCAGTTAGCAGGTTGGGCGTGTGAATCCAAGTGTGAATCCAGGTGGGATAGGCTCGTTTGGTTCGGGAGACGGACCGGATCGGGACTCACAATCACCCTAATTCCAAATTGGGGAAAGCCCTCCCGCACTGATAGGCCAGACCCAATCAGGATCTGTCGGGAAGACCCAAGACCCGTGACCCGTGACCCGTGACCCTCCCCCTAGTAGCCGCCCAGTCACGTGACCTTTATGCTTAGGACCACCGGCAATCTTGCTGTGCGGCAAATAGTTAAGTTACAACCACCTAACAAGTCATGTATACACTACTTGACCAACTCAGAGTCATCAAGCAAAGATTCTTTATAGATAAGTTCTCAGTAGGTTATTATGAGGGAGTTGTATGTTCTGTTACTGTCTCGTGCCGAGATAACGTTTCTTAGATATACACGATCACAATGCCATAATACACGCGGGTGATATGCCAATAGTATGGTACAGGTCTAGTATGGTCACTCATTAAGCGTGGTCAATTGGGGAGGGACCGGCCTCAATAGGATAGGTGAAGATGTAGTTGGGGCCGGCAGCCATCAGGCCATCACCACCCGGACGCATCTGGGAAGCAGGCAGCCACAGCTTTTTGTCGGGAGTGACCCACATAAGGTCGGTCCAAATCAGGCGGTCATCCTGGAAGAGGATTGAGGCAACACCCTCGGGGGTCACCTTCCAGATGGCCAACAGGTTGGTATCGCTGAAATAGATGTTGCCGTTGCCGTCGATGGTGGTGCCGCCAGTGCTGGGGGTCAGAGCAACAGCCTGGACATAGTCACCGAGCGAGGCGGCGAGGGTAGCGTTGGTGAGAGCAGCGTCAACATAGGCGGTCTCGATCTTGTACAGACCGCCGTTGCAGGGCTGGTAGTACAGCCAGACGCCGTCGGGGGAGACTTCGATCTGGTCGAGGCCGACGGCGAGGGTGCTGCCGGCAGCGCCGTAGCCAGGCACCAGAGTGTGGTTGTACATCATGGGGAACCAGGCCTGAGCAGAAGAGTGGTCGGAGAGCACACGCACGCCGTCGCCGGTCGTCATGTTCAGGATGATGAGCGCCCCCGCGGTGTCGCTGAGGTAGGCCACATCGCCAGCGGCGTTGAAGCGGACGTCATCGACACCGCTCTCCTCCGCCTTGACGTTGTCCAGGTAGTAGAGCTTGTCAACTGCGTTGGTGGTCAGGTTGACACCCACCAGCTTGGTGGAGCCATTGACGCCCGACGAGCCGCCGTCAACAACCCAGTAGCGGCCATCCGGGCCGATGCGCGCTCCATCGACGCTGACAAAGCTCGTGGTCGGGTCGGAGCTGGGGTCACTGGAATTGTATGCGTTCCACGCCGCGTCCGGATAGAGGCTGGTGCTGTTGTCGGCCAGAAGCTCGACGATCTGAGGCGCAGCGGTCGTGGAGTAACGCTGCGTCAGGAATTTGCGGCCATCGGCGGAGATACTGATGCCCTGGGTAGCACGTTCAAGGGAGTAGACTAGCTCCAGGCCCGGAGTATTGGTCTTCGCAGCAACATAGGGCGCAGAGATGCCCACGAGGGCGAGTACAAGAGAGGAAAGCATGATCGGAGATGTTCTGCGTGTCTGTTTCTCAGGTTTTCGGTGGGCGTCGTGACTAAATATATAGAGCAATTGCCGTGGGCCATGGCTCAAGAGTCTAGCTGCTGGTAAAGACGGACGATCAGGTCAGGAAACAGCTGAAGCATGATCGCAAGCAGGTAGGTCCTACTGAGTACAACATAGTTCAGATCCCGTTGACTCCGAGGGATCCCGCCCCGCCCCGAAAATTGCCAAGACGGTGCGGATGGAGGCACTTAGCTGCAAGGAGTTTAGTCTCCGCATCTGCCGTGCAAAGTAGGGATCCACTTGGATAGAAGCTTGAGATTGATAAGAAGTTTAACCAACTTTGGGGTCTTCAGACTTCGGCGCGGACAATAGGCTTAGTTCTTGGCAAAAGTTGGTACAGTATTCGCTGATGACGAGTGATGACGAGTCGGAGGACGGACTCTAACCATGAGTCTTGCCGCAGCCGAACTTCTTCCGGCACATTGAGCTTGTCTACGACTGGGATCAGCAGAGAATGTCGTTACGCCGCCTTGGTCAGACTGAGAATGCTCATCCTCGTACAATTCGCTTAGAGACTTAGACCGTTCTGCGCAGTTGGACGAGACGCCGCAATCTATTCATTAGGACTTGGTAGCCACTAGTCTAGCTCACACACGGCGTAGCATGACGCGTGCTGTCTGCTCCCTCAATCATTTGTGGCTCTTGGCGTAATATATCTTGCTGCAGCCAAGACACGCAGAATCCAAGGTCCAAATCGGAAAAGATGTCTCGCGTACTCATACAATGTCGAGTGCGATCGATTATCGTCAGACGGCATTGCCCAAGCCGAGGTCTAATGCGCATGGCCCGATTTGACGCGCCGATTTGGTAGAAGTGTTTGAAGGCGGCGTCAAAGCCTGAATACTCAATAATCACAACACAAAGGACTCAAATATATTCAATGGAAGATTGCGACATCAATCTTGTGAAGCATGAGCCGAAGACATGGACGACACCGACCAATTTAAGCAGTGATCTCATTGTCAGTGGCCGAAGTATTGTTGAAGTTCTCAGCTATAAGATCCAACCACAGCAAGCGCCCTTTTCAATCGCAGCTCCTGGTGTTGACGCATTCATTATGAATGAGGTACCGGATTTCTCTGGGGCAGTAGCACAAATCTTCCGCTCAACGACTACCACTAAGCAGCAAGAAGTGATCTAGTCAATCAATGATTCCGAGGTAAAGTGAAACGCCCGTTCGGCCTCGGAAGTCAACAAAATTTTCAAAAAAAAGGACCAAAACATACAACAGAAGGGATTCGCTGGTGGTCACCCACCCAACTACTAACCTCCCGGCGTGTGGCTTAAGTACGGCTGAGCGGACGGGAAGCCCTGTTTTCCACACCCTGTGGTCGTATGTGTCAGTTTTCTTTGTCGCGGGGCTTATATGGATTTTTTACAAATCTCTTCTCACGGGCAACAAAGACAGCTCTTTCATGCTACCCAAGCGGTCTGGCGGACATGGCATTACTCTGCTGGATGGGTGGGTTTACACACGCAAGCGATCAGACACTCACAAACCATGCGCTTTATTGAGAATTGTGGCTAGACTTCCCCAAAAAAGTAAAACATGCGTGAACATCTGAATTCAGAAATTGTGCGGATCTCCTTCGATGGGCCGCATACTTGCAGCCAGAAAGTTCGGGATCTCGTGCCTGCGACAGCAAACCATGCTAGCATAAGTAAGCTAGGGCTGGGTCCTGCAGTGTTAAACCTTTGCTGTGGCGATAGATGTCCGGCATAGACGCTTCGTGAAGGTCTGTACCACACTGCATGTTGAAAACAAAATTTGATAAAGCATGAGATCAGTTTCCAAGCCTGATAGCAGTGATAGACCGTTGGAAGTGTTATCGACAGGACTACATACATGAGAGACAAACCAACTGAGCGAGCACAGAGGTCGAAAATCAGACATCAAGGAAGCAAAGTTGACTGGATCCTCCGAAACATGCAAATATGAAAAGACAGACAGATCTAACAAGTATGCATAGAAGGCGATCAAGACATCGCCCCGGGAACGACAAGCAATCAATGGAGAAACAGGAAAAACAACGGGAGGATAATGACCAAGAGTAATCAAAGCCAACAAACAACTTGCACAGGGAGAGGCAAAAGTGGTGAAATGCGACATAAGAACCAAGACACAGCCTAAGAGGTCTTCCGTGGGTGATAAACTGCCTTGTCCATGTTTTTGCGACTATCATCGGATATCTCGGGATTGTGGTAGCATATATTCCGAAGGCTAGGGCGACCTAGAGGCTATATTACACGGACCGCATGAGGTCTGAGACTGGGCTCCTAGAATCCGTTCTTGAGGAGAGGAGCGTGGCGAAGTTGGGAAGGAGGGGTATCGGTTCCGATTGGAAAGTAGTCTAAGCGTTCCACATTTTCAAATATCCTAGGGTATTTGAGTGAAGTTAGTCCGTTCTCATCGGATGATTCATCCCAGTGCACGGCGGTTATGAGAGTTCTATCGGCTGCCATGCGACGGCCGGGCTCCTCCTCCGGTAGACCTGGGCAAGATTACTTGAATTTGTCTTCGTCAGTCAATACATACCGACAACGCAGCGACCAGTAGAAGTAGCTTACATAGGATTCCACCGAAGAAGACATTTCGGAGTCTGGGGATTGGCATTGAAGGTGGGTGTGCGAAGTAGTATCTCGAGTGCCAGATCGGGACCCGGAACCCGGGATTAGGATGGCAGAGGAGCTGTGCATTGTTGGTGAAGATGCAGATCCCGGGGGCAAGCAGCCAGATGAGCTGGCATTTTGCGTGTCAGGTACAGACGCAGAGCTGGGGTTGCAGGATGTTTGCAAGGTGGGAGCGTTGGGTCTGGACATCTTGCGCGTAAAAATAGAGGCAGAAGACTCAAATTGATCGATACTATTGCCATTCTACCAGTGATCCAGACGGCCCTATATACCATTACTAACAAAAGTTCAAGTTTCTATTACTACCTACTCAGTCAGACTATAAGCAAACAGACACTGTGATTGAGAGACGATGTGCTCACCTATGCGAGACATGAAGCGCTTGAAGCTCGATGCTGAGCCGCGCAATGAAAGACTTGACAGACCCCATGTTCTACCATGCGACAGTAGCTGGACATAACTGAAGTTTTACACATGGTCATATGATGAATTAGTCCAGATGGTCATGATAGTGACATACCTGTGCGATAGAGAGTATGTGACCCCGTGTGCCATCGCCTGATGGATTGATCTTTGTTCAAGTGGTGCTTCAATCAGATAATAAGACACAATCATTCAAGGGGACGCCTTCAACTCAGCACGCTCTTAGAGTGAGGTTGAAGACCGATCAAAACATTCAAAGCGGTTAAAGGAATAATGATGGAGGTTGGTGTGTGACAAGGCCTGTAACAAGGCTAGACATAAAATCTGTCAGTGAAGCCCGGTTGTGAGGGAAAGAAAGAAATGGAATGAATAGTATAATGGACCAGTGCCATGTTTCTGTGTAGACTTTGCCGCATTCCTTGTAAATGTTCAAGCACAAAGACTTGTGTCACAATGTACACACTGACATCCGACACAAAGCCAGTTACAACACGAGGGCTATTTAAAGAGCTTTGATTCTGTCACCAACTCTCAACTCGGTCCTCCTAATCCGCAGCACACACATCCTGCGACTCACACCAAAAGTCGCTTTACATCCAGCCTGTATATAATGGCGTTTTCTCAACGAATGAATTACAGGCGTTCTGAGGCCCACTACTCGCGTCTGGCAGGAGTGTCTGACGAAGCAATGGCGTATAGAAAGGCGTACGAAGACATCATAGACGGTGTGGTAAAGTCGAACGATCCGTTAGACCCGGAGGAAGCCGCCCGCAGGCTGAATGATCTGTTGACACCGGAGCGAGTGCCATCCAACACGGCATTCGAGAGAAAGCATCAAGGTCGAAGCTATCACCTCTATCGCGTGGCCACCTCCTTAGTTGAATTGGCCTGGTCTCAGGAGTGTGATACAAATGACGTACGGGCACGGCTGGTCAATTTTGTGGAGGCTCTGGCTAGGTATGAACAACTTTGGAACGACCTGGGTTACTTCGGTATCGCCATGCGCGAAGAGTTCAATTCAGTTTTATCTTTATCCAAAGAACCGGATGGCACATCCCAGGCGCGAATTAACTTTGCGTCCTTTACCGCCAGGCTCATTGCACGGGATCTGTTCCAGGGATTAAACTTCCCTGTATGGGAACTGCGATCGACGCTGGAGGAACCCCTCCCAGATGCTAATACATCCCGGATAGATGCATATCTCGCCATCGTGCGCGAGTATATCTTCCATGCGGGTGTGAAAACCTATAGTCACCTACGCAATCTGGAACGTCACCTGCCTCACCTTGACGCCAAAGAGAAGGAAAAGAGCGAGCGGATTTACATGGCGTGGTCCCTGTACAAAGAGGGCGAAGGTAAAATCTTCAGCGTGGAGCGTTGGCATTTCTGGAAGCAGCGCATTGCTGAGCTTGGAGAGAAAGCTTCGCCTGAGTATCGGGTGATCGCCACGGGTCTGGTTGCAAGGATGAACCAGATCGAGATGGATACCCCTTGGGACGGGGTTGTGGCGGATCCTGGAGCGGCATAGTACATTCACCTGTCTACGCAACCGGGAGAAGCCTGAGAGTCCAGGTTCCTAAAGCCGTTGCCACCGCGGCCGGGGTCACGGCTTCTCGCTCCAAACTATCTCTTGTATGCGTTCCTCTAGTTCAGTCTTGTAATTCAAAACTCAATCAAAATAACTCGTGATATGAGAGGAGGGTATCTGTCCGTGTATGTCCAAAAGAAGGGGGGCGGTTGCTGGCTGGTGGAACTGAATCAGGGGGCGGACCAAGGCAGATAGATAGAGATCAGTCACTCGGTCTGCTGCATGGATGTGTTGGAAGGACAGGAAAATCACTCTCAGTCGCTGACATTCTCTTCTGAGACAGGGGCTCGTATAATCCCCCCCCCCGGCTAGATCAACAACTCTGCAATTCAATACACTTACAAGGTGCCGGGCGGATACGGTTGGGGAGCGTAATTCAGTTGACCAAAATCAGATCAACTTCTACTAGCAATGGGATATCTCTTGGCTTAATTATGGTAATTAACTTGCCTAGCTCCTCAAACTAGAATGCACATCGGTCGGCAGTGCTGTTTGCGGCGGCGGCCGATGAGTATCTGGCATTGGCGGGTGAATGCCTTACTATCAACTTTCAGAAGAAAAAGTACGGATTCACAAATTCCAGCGTGTTTTTTTCGGTGCGATAATCCTTGATTCAGAGCTGGCATATTTCCTATCCAGCAAGTAGCTCTACTCTCCTTCAGCTAGCTAGCTAGTCGCGGTAATTTTTAGCAGCTGACCCAGTTCGCGTTCTATTCATTGCGCCAGTACTGCATTACTATTCGCACGATCATTAAAGATCTTCCCGCAAGCCTTCCCCGCAGGAGATCCCTTCGAGGCACGAAGGCAGTGTGACAAGGGGCTACGAGTATTTGCGATTTTGCACTAGAGAGCCGCACAAACCCCTCTAGATCTAGGCCGAAAACCTGAGAAGTGATGAACTTGCTCGCTGACTTTGGGGTAGGCGTCAAAGCCACTATCCGATGTCGCCCCAACACCTGCATGCTCACGAGCAATAGTGAGACAAATGGGAGCCTAGACTAGTGGCGCAGATGTGCTGGACTTTGGTGGTCACCTATCACACCTTCCTGAATCAGGGGCAGACCTCTCTATGACACTGTTTGAGCAGAGTCTTGTGCCTCACTGATTGCTTCCTGCTACAAGAGCCTTGGGCTGCTACTGCTGCGCAAAGCCCGAGAATCGCTCTTTCATGCAGTTCGACATCGGTAGACAAAGGAAAACATACGGTGAAGGACTGGGGCGGTTTTCCGGGACCAAGGTGTTCCCCCTTCAATTATTGTCGGGAATATCATATTGACTTTCATGTTGACTGTAGATGTAATGATGATTCCAAACACTGTCGTGGGAAGGTTCACTCTATTCGCGCTGTGCTCATCCCAGTTCAACCGCTCCGGCTTCCTACTTAGGTCCCCGATCATCACGTGGCTTTCACCTGAGGGAGCCCGGTCCAGCCTCTTTTCGGCGCGGTCGCATTTGAGAGTGTGTCAAGAACATATGTGCTAAGGACATGTCACTGATTGTGCAGAATGCAGGATGAGATTCTCTTTTGTCGAGGGTGCAGGGGATGTTGATGTTGAACTCGTGCCTGCAGCCGACTGATGCCTCGGTGCTGCTCTTCCAGTTTCTATCCTACATCATCGCTATCTTTGGCGCAGATCGCATGAAAGACGCTCCAGTAAGCCGAAGACCACCAATTTGTCCAGCACAGATTCCAAGATTTCAAAGTCATACGCAACAGGTTCAGTTTCTCTTGACCCTGCCACCACTAACTAATCTGCCTACAACCGCTACTCCTCACGATGCATGCGACATGCTTTACAACTCCGTCTTGAACCCTTCCCCCCCAAACACCTCACTCATACACGGCACCTCCTCCACAAACATGGGCAAGCAATAGTTGGCGTTAACATACCGACCGATCCCCGGGCTGGTCGCGGGGCAGATCACCTCCAACCCGCGACAGGCCTCGACACCACTCTTGAGACACATCCCGCATTTGCCATTGAAGCACCACGGCGCCGCCTGGAACGCGCCCGCGCTGTTGGCGTCGCGCGTGAAATACAGGTGGTCGGAGCAACGCTTGTCGATCCAGCCGGCGCCGTCCACGGTCCACTGGCCAAACTCATCCTGCAGGAAGAACGGGTCGCCGACGGCCACCTCCTTGTCGCTCGCCGCGCACTCCGTCGTGCTGGCGCACACCTTGAAGTGGTACAGGTCCTCGTACTCCGTCTGCAGGATGTAGTCCAGCGCGCCGCGGCGGATGGACAGTGTGCGGTTCTGGGTGTCCTTCAGCCGGTAGCAGTGGCCCTGCTTCAGGCCCGTGGTCTTGGAAGAGGAGGCGCAGACGCCGTGGGGCTTGCAGTTGATGGTGTCGGGTTCCGGCGCTGGATCGCTCTTGGGCTGGCACTTCTGGCCGTCGAAGTAGGCGGTCCCGATCGGGCAGCAGGAGCCGGACTGCGACTTGGTGTCCCACAGGTAGATGTGGTCGGTGGCCGGACAGCAGTCGCCGTGCTGGGCGCTGGCGTCGGCCAGATACGCCTGGCTGGCGTCACAGCATTTGCCCAGCTTGCTGCCCTCGGGGCCGGTCAGGAACACTTGGTTCTTCTCATCGCAGCAGCGCCGGCGCTGGGTGATCGGGTCGGTGTACTTGCCCCCTTCGCCGGTGCAGATGGTACATTCGTCACAGGAGCCCAGGCCATTGTGGACATCGTAGAGCTGACCTACGGCTCGAGGGCTGTTGAACCGCATCTGGCAGAGCTTGTCGCACTCTTCCTGGCTCATTGGGTCCGCTGCAGCGGTGAGTCGTCCTGCGAGGCCGAAGAGTAGAAGGATGGTGCATGGAGAACGCATGTTGTGGAATGTAGACCGATATTTCTTTTTGTAAAATCTGATGCAATTGCAGTATGTGATGGAGAAGATATGAATAACTGAGAGACAGTGCTATGACACTTGAAGTATGAGAGACGAGATGGTCCACGATCTGGAGCTATTGTACCTGTATTTATATCTTGCGTTTTCTCACAAAGTTGTTGCTGCTCACAACTCGCTCATAGCTTTGAGTTGTCACTTGCACACAATGTTCGCCTACACATCTACGTGTAAATGGAAGTGTGATGACGAGCTACCACTTGCTTATCACTTGCATCTTGGCGTAACTGAATTCAATAAGAAAGACATGTCCTCCAATAATTGGAGACATAGACGTCGACCAACATGAGATCACCACGCATGACCTGCAGAACCTCACGTACTGCAGGGCTCTGCTTGCCACGCGGATGTTTCCGTGGCTGGCTGAATTATGCAGGGTTACTCGGGCTGAGATACCCTCGATCCTAGCTTTTCAGCACATAGTGAGATGGATTCTGTGCTAACTCATTGCCGGTACGTCTTTTTCCCACGTTATGACCTCCGGAGATAGCGGTTGAACGCGTATCACTAGACTCTGAATACTCACACCGTGTTACTTTTCTCATCTCATTTACATATCAATCATTTTTTTCAAACTTCTATAAATTGCCACAATGAAGACATTTGCCGCCATGCTGTATGCTTGGCCTGGTAAGCCCAGGATTCTCGAGCACGAGCAGCAAATCCCAGCCTTCAAGCTAAGTGCCTCGATAGTTCAGTGGCTGGCTGAAGTTCTGGAATTGGCATGCGCGCCCTCAAAGATGGTGTCGAGGCAAACAGCAGACCCCAAAAGCGCCAAGAAAGCCCGAAGGCCTTCAAGCACATTGCCGCCTGGGGAAAGCGTCTGGGTCTCTCGAGATCAGCTGCTAGAATTCCCACGTTATTCTCAGCAGCAAATCTTAGGACTGAATTTTGTGCAAGATCGGGTCAGCCAGCCATCATAGAAAGATGAGCTTCACTGGGGCATCAGTTCGACGCATGGTTGCCTTGCCCCGGACGAACACAGCGGGCCGCAGGCTGTGTAGAGGGAACCCCTGTCTCGATAGCCAGTCAGAACTTGACTAACTTTCGCTCGTATCTTGGTTATTTGCGGGAAATGGCATTGGCGATAGTTTGTGTAACCTATGGTGTTCATCGGTGGGTCTGAATGGCTTCAGCTGAACTCAGACCTGCAATTTGTAGCATGGCAATCAAACTGCTTTTTGGGTTTGTCCGCGCTCGACAACAGTCATCGTTGCGCTTGCGTCAGGTCGAATTACCATATTATTGTTGAGATTGCATTCGTGTTAGTTTCCCTTCTGGTTGGATTGTCCAAAAAAAGATCCTTCATCTATGCGTTCGCAAACGTTGTGACACTTAAACCACTCCAAGGTCCAATGTCTTTTCTTGCAATGGTGCTCTCATGATTCTCGGGGACGACTTTCTCTCGTGAATGCTTTGTGTCTCGAGGCAAAGACGGCAACTTGGTTGACACTGGTGCAGAGAACTGTCGGAGTGGAGTTAGGGCAGAGCTGCGATGCGACAGGGTGCGTTAGAAACTAGTCCTATTAAAGTTGTAGTGACAGCGGATCTCCCCGCCACTCCTTCAGCGCGTATCATGCTTTGTTTGCGGTTCTTGTCGTACGCTTGACGTAAATTAGCCAATAGTTCCTTCGGACAGAATGAATGCAGATATGCGAGGGAAAGGTATGAGCGCCTGTCTCTACTATCACTAAAGGCACCGGACTCTCCCACAAGTCATGCCTGAGTCACTTTTCGGGCAGGACGGTAAGGATGCCTCAGGCACCAACACCCCATCCGCACTCGTGATGTCGGTCCACCGTTATGCTCTTCTCATTCTTATTGGGTGAGGGATCCTGTCATGACCAAAAGCTATCTCGAATTTCGCTGCTGATTGAGGATTCTTGTTTGCATTTTCTGGCGGGATGGGTGGCGCGACACTGTATGCTCTTCCACATCGGCCGCAGCCCTTCCAACAGGAGGCCCTTCTCATGGCTTTATACCATGATACCATCGTCTATAAAACTATTGCCTCTTATCTCATTGTATAAAAAAAGCTACTTAGGCTTTAGCCTTGAGTATACCTCATGATCCTTGCCATTTCGAATTGGCACAGAATTATCTTATGAAAGCAAGCACCTAGCCGGCCTTGGGTTGTGTCTTCCAAGATCGTTCACAGCCTTCAGTTAACTCTTGTGGACAAAGATTCCCGCAGGAGATACCTCGCATGTCAGCGCGCCCGTTGGACAGATCGGCATTGGTTCATTGTCGCAGTAAAGATAACAATGACAGTTTGATATTTCAGCTGTTGCCTAGAAATGTTTTCGGTACCATGGCGAATACATAATATGCTCACAGGAAATCGGGTGGAGTAGTGCCTGTTATTATCTCTCACCCGAAAGCCTTCCTGAGATATAGTATTCATTCTCCCCTGCGGCATTGTCTCAGCATCCCGTCATTATCGCACGTTTGAATGCGGGCCCAGAACACCCGTAGAATTGCTGATGTTATCACAAATTGCAATCACACCATTTGCTACCGTTATACTTGTGCATGCAGCTCACAGTGAAAGTCTTCAAACTAATGCAAAGTTATCTCGGCAATTTAATCAAGTAGCCGAGGAGGGGTATGCGCTGTACGCTATTATGCCCGAAGTCGGCGGGGTCGCTCTTGCGCCATCAAAGCTGCGGATAGTAACATTCCTCAATCCCCGCATCGGAATGCCATAAGACATCAGTGAGTACAGCAGCCGAGCTACGTGTGCCCAAATGACAGCAGCAGTTGTTTCAAAACCCCCTGAACTCGAAAAATCACCGAGCGACCATGTTGTCCGATGCTTCAGACGATCAACACGTCCAACCGGCACTGGCCGCTGGCAGTGAAGACCCTAAAACAGTCTTCATCGACGAGAAACCCATCCCTGGGAGAGGTCATGTGCATCAGGTTAACCGCAATGCAGACATCCCAATTCCTGACAAAAGGGAGGCTATCCCCGGCTACGATGCCGAGTTAATGCGCGAACGCGCCGCATTAAGTGCGGACGAGGAGAAGAAGCTTCTGCGACGCGTGGATTGGCATTTGATCCCGCTTCTAGCTGTTATCTATATGCTGAAAAGTGTCGACTTCACAAACGTGAGACCTTCCATGCTGAGGGTAATTCTGAGGGTGGTCCTCTGACGGAAGCTTTTTAGGTCTCTTACGCACTTACCATGGACAAAGGAACTCCTCGCAACATCCTGACTGAGCTTAAGATGACAAAGGACCAGTACAATCTGGTGACAGCGATGTACTATGTGAGAAACACCGTGTTTGTAAACAGCTGCGATGCAGACTGATGTGTGTCAAGATTCCCTACATTATCGCCGAAGCGCCTTCCAATCTACTGATCAAGGGAGTCAAACCCTCCGTCTGGCAAGCTCGGATTCAGGTAAATATCATTCACCCAGCAGATATGTCTTACGTCTAACATAACCAGGTCTCATGGGGAATCGTTCTCTGTTGCCACGCAGCAGTCAAGAATCGACAAGGTCTCTATGCTGTCCGCTTCTTCTTGGGTCTATTCGAAGCCGGGCTTTGGCCGGGGATGCTGGTCCAGTTGTGTTACTGGTATCGACCGGATGAGATAGCTCCCCGGATTGTGTTGGTTACGCTGCTTGGAAACTTCAGCACGGTCATCAGTGGTGTGCTTGCCTTTGCCTTCAACGGGGTGACGACCGGGGGGTTGTCGGGGTGGAAATGGTGCGTTCGGCAGATCCATGCATGAATCGATGTCCTCGAAGCTAACCTTGCTACTAGGTTGATTCTGACAGAGGGGATCATCACAATCGTTCTGGGTGTTCTCACATATGTCTTCCTGCCAGATTGTATGCAACATCCTCAGAATGAACCTAGAAACTGCTAACTCACCCCACTAGTTCCCTCTACATCATCCTGGCTCTCCGAGAGAGAGCAAGCCTTCATCCAAGCTCGTCTTCCCCGCAACTCTCCTCGAGCGCAAGAATCCAACTTCAACCTTCGAGAGCTGATCACCTGCCTGCGAAACGAGAGAATCTGGCTATTCCTGCTCTGTTGGGCATTTTTCACTGTCGGAACCACCGGTCTCACATTCTATCAGCCCACTGTGATTTCCAATCTCGGCTTTACGTGAGTTGTTGCAGTTCCTGGTCGCAAACCAGCGCTAACCAATTTTCAAGCTCGATGGGCGAATCCCTCCTCCTCAACATCCCCTCCGCCGTGTTCGCGGTAATCCTGACCCTAGCCTTCGGAGTCTTCGCCGACACCGGAAGGATCCCGCAACCGGCCATCCCGCTCGCCTTCATGATAGTCATCGAGGCGTGCTATGGCGTGCTATATGCATTTCCGAATAGCGGGGGTGTCTATGCCGCTACGATCATTGCGGGCGGATTTTCCACCGCTTGGTAAGCACACCCCTCCCGTAAGTTGTTTGTCAATGGCTGAGAGACGCTGTAGGTACGTGATGATGTGGCCTTGGCGAGTTCAGACGACGCAGGGGGCCACAGGCTCGGCGTTTGCGATTGCCTTCGCCAATAGCTACGGGCAAATCGGAGGCGCGGTGGGATCGCAGCTGTTCAATTCTCGGTATGCGCCGCGCTATACCACCTCGTTTGGGATTGCCATGGGGTTCGTGGGGATGGCGATCATTATGAATCTGATTACCTGGGGGCGTACGTGGAAGGTGGATGTCGACACGAGGAGGTTGAAGAGGGTCCGGCGGGCGGCAGCGAAGGAGAATCAAGCGGTGCTGGAGGATATCGAGTTCCGTTGACAGGTGAGGGGAAGGGCCTTGGCGTGTCTGTAGCGAGGCTTACAAAGATTGGCCTATGATGTGAGATGGGTCAGGTGTTGTGTAGATAAGAAATGCAGCAGGACGGCAATCTCTTGGACAGTCGGACTAGTTATGATGTCGGATATTGATAAGCACACGCCATTGCGGGGAGGAATGCCCTAATCCACATTCATCAGATTCCCCTCATCGACTCACCAATTCCTGGAAACTGATATACATCCTGCACCCCCAGGATGACATAGCCTCCCTGGGTGACGCTATTGAAAATCGACACCCCAATGAAGGCATTCGAGATTTTCAACATCGCTGCCCTAGCGAGGCTAGCTCTCGCTTCAACACAGCAACCACTCTTCGACCCTCCCCCCCACGATGCAATTGTCAACTCTAATAGCGAGTTAGAACTCGACCGAATCATCACCTCCTCGCCTCTACTCAGCTTCCATCGTGACATCGTGACCATCGAGTCCATCTCGGAAAATGAGCAAGAAGTCGGCGATTTTATCATCGACTTCCTCCTCTCCTACAACCTCACCGTCGAGAAGCAAGTCGTGACCCCCAAGTCCACCACCACCAAGGAGCGCTTCAACATCTACGCCTACGCAGGAGACAATCGCTTCCCCGAGATCCTATTAACAAGTCACATCGACACCGTCCCCCCGTTCATCCCTTACTCGCTTCACCCCCCAGCCCCGAACCCGCATACGGGAAAATTCAACCGAAAGGACCTCCTCATCGCCGGCCGGGGCACCGTAGACGCAAAAGCCAGCGTCGCAGCCCTAATCTTCGCCGTCCTCGACACGCTGGCCACGGACCCGAGGGCCTCTGTAGGTATTTTACTGGATGTCGGCGAGGAGAAGTCCGGCGTGGGGATGAAGCATTTCTCCGCCTCGGAGCTCAATCCCGCACCGTCGAACTTCCACACCGTCATCTTCGGTGAGCCGACGAATGGCGACCTGGTGAAGGGCCACAAGGGCACCCTGGGGTTCAACGTCGTCGCGCGCGGGAAGCCCGCGCACTCCAGTTATCCCTGGCTCGGGGAGAGTGCTATCCTCTCCATCTTGCCTGTTCTCGGACACATCAACTCCTTGCAGTTTATTCCCCCGGAGGAAGGGGGGTTACTGTGGGGTGAGGTTCTGGGTAACTCGACTTTGAATATCGGGACCATCAGCGGTGGCGAGGCGGCTAATGTTGTCCCGGCGCATGCTGAGGCCACGGTCTCGGTGCGGTTGGCGGCGGGGAGTCCGGAGGAGACTCGGCGGATTATTCAGGCGGCTGTGAATGAGTTCACGGGCGGGGATGGGAGGGTGTTTCTGGACTTTGGAATTGGGGGTGGAAATAGGACGGTCGGGGCACCACCGCAGTTCTTCGAGACGGATGTCGAGGGGTTCGAGGTCATTGCGGTGAATTATGGGACGGATGCGTTCTCGTTGGAGAGTCATGATCGTGCAGATGCGCGGAAGGTGAAGCGGTATTTGTATGGGCCGGGGCGGTTCGAGGTCACGCATGGGGAGAAGGAGGCGATCACCGTGCGGGAGCTGGAGGATGCGGTCGAGGGGTATAAGAGGTTGATTGCTGCTTCGTTGTGATTTTCGTGGAGAAGAATGTGTGTGCTGTGAGCATGTCCTGGTATGCTTTTGGGTGTTCAGTCGAGATTGGGTCACTCATGAATCATGCGACACAATTATCGAGGTCGAGGATAAGGTACTATACATCAACTCCAAAGCACCTAACTAAATCACTAGTAGCCCTGCCTGCGTAAGCAGCCTCATTACCGGTTCCAAGCATTCAACAAGAACCCCATCCTTATCGATACAAGATCGAAATACTATTAACCTCCCACCCCGCACTCCCCGTAAAGCCCACCAGTGACCCTCTCGCCACGTTCGCGTAAGGCGTGCCTCCCTCCCCGCCCGCCATCAAGTGCTGGCCCCGGCTGGTGACGATCTCAATCCCATCCACGCGCCACGCTGCCCGGATATCAATACACTGAGACCCGAGAAGAATTCGATGCAATAGTGGCGGGGAGTCCCAATGCTGATAAGCTTTCCCCCGCTGACGATAAGCGACTACGACTCTTGATGCCGAGGGCGTCAACAAAACTGATATCTAACTGGTTGGGGAGGCTAGCGTGGCGAATGCCAGAGCTTAGTGAGACAGACATAACCTATGCAGAGTGTGGGTTCGCTGCCGGAGAGTTTGGGGATCCCCTTGGTGGTTAGATGTCTCCCCGCCTAGAGCTTCGTGCCTAGCTAGAAGACATATACTGTGTGTTGATGAGAGGTCGAGACGTACAACAGTGACCTTTGAACTGAGCCACATCATCAGCTTTGGTCACATACTCGTATTGAAAAGTATAAATAGCACACAAGATTATAAGGATCGACTAAAGATTGTTTACCGCTAATTGTTAGAGTGAGTGCCGTGGGAAGAAGGATCCGAAGGGCGCTCGGACGCTGTCTCCCGCAGATGCCTAAGGCTGGGTTAAGCGCCCGGGGTATTGTTGTCAACGCGATATCATGGCCCGAGCACACCAATTCCGAGGCTATCGTAGCCAGATCGGGTTCACCGATATTGTGCAAAAATAGGAAGGAACACTGACTTGGATTGTAGTTGTGTGAACATGGCGCCATTGAAGTATCCCATTACCATTCACAAATTTGGAGTCACGGTCTGGTGTTGTCTTGCGTGAGGGCGATTGAAATAGTTATATATTATGTCAGGCAACGTAAATGGTATTATGTGCAGCTTGCTTCTGAGGTCTGTTTGGAAAGGTGCGTCAACCTGCACAGGATTGTGGCTCAGATGGATCAGGCTCAGAGACTACCCTGGCAACTCACTCACATGAGCTCGGGTTTCGAGCTCACTCACATACGGACGCGCAGAAAGCTCGACAGGTTTTTGATATGATTTTGAGGGAAGCTCATGGATAAACGCTGGCTGATCCGAGGACGGACCGTGGGACAAAGACTGTCTTCTGCGCCGTCGAGAGCAGATCAAACAGAACAACCCCGTAACGGCGAGAAGAACCACTCCGAGCGCCACACCTACTCCAATTCCCACTTTAGCAACTGCTGAGAGACCGATCGAGGTATTTTGCGTGACCTGCACTGTGGTCTGCGTCGGAGTTTGCGTGCCCGTGCCGCCTGTCGCTCGAGGGGTCGTGGGAGACAGCGTGGGGGCGGGGGTGATAGTGGTCGACGGGTTATTGGTGGCTGTGATGATTTCGTTGCGGATGAGCGGAATTCCATCTTGAAACAGAACTGATGAGGAGGATATTGTGGTTTCAAGTGCGACAAAGTTGGTCACCAGGGTGATGACGTCTCCTGGAGAGACGGATGTCGCGCACGCATGCGTCCAATTATTGTAGAGGGTGAGACCGCTGAGACGGGTGAGACGAGGAAAGATTAGAATGACTAGGTTGCACGATTTGATGAACCAGAATGAGTAGGTTTCTGCTTACCTGGGGCAACACAAGACGCCATTACGACTTCCGGTGAGTGTCTCGCCTGCCCAGCCGTCGGCTAAAGTTGCTGCTGTGTGCCAGCTACTCGGACAGTAGTAGCCAGGGCTGTCTATTCAATATGACTGTCAGTGGTTAGGCAACACACACAACTCTAAGTACAATGGGCATACTGACAGTAATATGAGTACCAGAACTGAAAATGTGTGTACGAGGTGGCTGGAATGGTTCCTGTGGGATAGCAGGCCATGTCCCCTGACCACCAGTGTCCATAATAAATCGTTCCCGCTGCTGCTCCTGCGCCGTCATCGGCCGTATACATGGTCGCTGATTGACGGCATGTTATCGGAGGGGAGAATGTGTCTGTATAAGGCCCTCTATTGTATGCACCCGTGTATCCGGGAATGGAGACGGGTGTCGATCTTCTTGTCGCAAGTGTGGTTCCGTCATCGCCTGTAGCGCTCTCCATGTTCTGTTTTCAGCTCGTGTGTAGTCTTGGTGGTCTCTGAACCTTTCGAATGTGTTTGTTTCGGTGCTCCACTGACAGTACAGGACAAAGCAAGCAAGAGGACAGAATGTGGCAAGGATCGGAGGAAGAAGGCATCGTGGAGGTTGATGTCGGATCCCATAGTGATAGCGCTGTGATTATATATGGTGCCAATGCGATTGTGGTAGCCAATTCAGATAGACGCCCTGGGTGGATGCAGGTCAACTTAGTGCTTACCATTCATAGGAGATTGTGCAATCGCCCCGAATTGAGTCATCTATTGGCCAACCTAATAGCTTCCAGACTAAATATACTCGAACCTGTCACTCAGCCGCGGCAACTTGGAAAGACAAGGGCGCTTATCGATTGCGATGGTATTCTTGGCACATCAAATACCCCGCTCCGTCCACGAACACATGGCGACAGGTCAGAAGGTTGACCAATCACGCGTGGAGTAGCCCTGATTATAAGCCCCTGGCGGTATCTGCGAAGAAAGGAATTTCATATGTGATAGCATCATTGCGCCAGGGGAAAGATGTAGGAGTCTGGGCTTCTGGGTATTCGCACTGTATGACCATGCTCATGCCAGATGAGAAATTTGGGGGACTGCCGTTATGATCTTTTGCGCAACATCAAATACCTTCTCCTCATGCTCCGTACGATGAGAGGGAGGGAGCACCCTATTCATGACGGGATTAACTCAACGTACACAAGTTGGTGCCCTAGGCAGCGAGTCTTGTGATGCCTCAGGCAAGTATATCTAAAACAGGCTAGTGCATATCCCCGCTGATGCAATGGGCGAGTGACGAAAACAGGATCGCTGGAGCTCTGGCAGTTGAACTTCTTCACCTTCTTCTCACGATTGCCAATTGCTTCAATCCACATCACCATGGCGTCCATTATCTCCCGCACTAGCTTCCGTGCTCTCACGGCTCTTCCCCGGGCCACCCCTCTCCCTCGCCTGTCGCTTTCCAGCCAGCTCCCTCGCATGCAGCCCCGCGTGCAGCCCCTCCCCCGCCGCTTCCTCACCACCATTCCCCAGGAGCAACCCCGTCTGCGTCTCGGGTCTAAGGGTAAATAGCCCTCTCGCCATAACATCATGCAATTGACTCACTCTGACCCATCGCAGCCCCCAATTTCAAGGCGCAGACCACCCATGGCGAGCTTGACTTCCACGAGTTCATCGGCAATAGCTGGGCCATCCTGTTCTCGCACCCGGCCGACTTCACTCCCGTGTGTACCACCGAGCTGGGCGCCTTCGCCAAGATGAAGGACGAGTTCGAGAAGAGAGATGTCAAGATGATCGGCCTGGTGCGTTACCACCCCCGTCTTTGCTCACCATGACCATTTAAAATGACCAAGCTAACCATCCACCTCACTCTCCAGAGCGCCAACGACCTCAGCTCCCACGACCAGTGGATCGACGACATCAACGAGGTGGCCAACACCCAGGTGCAGTTCCCCGTAATCGCCGACGCCGACCGCAAAGTGGCCTTCCTGTACGACATGATCGACCAGCGCGACCTGGACAACATCGCCGAGAAGGGCATCCCGTTCACGATCCGGTCGGTCTTCATCATCGACCCGGCCAAGACCATCCGGCTGATCATGTCGTACCCGGCGTCGACGGGCCGCAACTCGGCGGAGGTGCTGCGTGTGATCGACTCGCTGCAGACGGCGGACAAGAAGGGTATCGCGACCCCGATTGACTGGAACGTGGGCGACGACGTGATTGTGCCCCCCTCGGTGTCGACGGAGGACGCCAAGAAGAAGTTCGGCAACGTGCGGGAGCTCAAGCCGTACCTGCGCTACACCAAGGCGTGAGAGCTAAGCCTACTTGGGCCAGACACGAAAAAAGAAACATAGATTCCAGAAGTTAATGTAATGTAACATCGCTGTAATCTAGACCACAATCTTACAAGCTCGGAGGCTGTAATCTCAGGGCCTCAGGCCACAATGGTGAATTAGCGGACAGGGTCCCGGTCCCGTGATTGCGGGCGATAATCAGCAGTATCTTCGAGCTAACCCAATACAGTAACATCAACACGAGGATGCTCGCTGGACGAATCACGGGGCTTGTTTTGCGCCGGTTTGTTTTGGTCGATGTGTTGTTTTTTTTTTTTGGGTGGTTGTGTTGATGGCCAGACGCCTCCAACTTTCTTTCCTCACAATCACCGTGCGGTTCCTGGCGATCCCGTCCAGTCCTGTCCATGGCTGATGCTTACCTCAAACTAAACTGCCTTGACCACGGAGTAGCTTTTGTATCTTTTTAGTATTTCCTTGTTGTGTCACCAACGATACTGAGGCATTCCTGACCTCCACAATTGTCAGCCGTGACCCGTGGTACCTCCCAACCATCCATAATATCCCAATCGTTGGGGCTGACAGGGCACTCCTTCTTCCACAAATCCCCATTCCACTGCCACCAATCTATCCTCCTACAATCATCCGGATAATCCGGACCTATCAACTCTACTCCCCCTCCCCCCAATTGCCGGGGCATTCCCACCCGTCAGCCCACATTCCATCCCCATCCGCCGCCACACCCGACAGTCACCCCCAGCATTCCCTTGGCTTTTCATTAAAGTGGTCCTTCGCAGTGGGACAAACCCAAAAAGATAAAAAGGTCCGTGCTCGCCACGGATGTCTCTCCACTCGGGCAGTCGGGATCGCCTATCCCGCCGGTCCAGCAGCCCCCCCAGCCGAGAGCTGCCGGAGGCCCCCGACTCCACCACCCCGAGCTACTACACCCTCTCCCCGCCCCCGCGCCTAGGCTACCGGGGAGAAGACAGCTACGTCTCCAGCCTGAGCCCCAGCCTTCCCTCTGATGTCCATTCGGAGACACAGCGCTACCCCCCCCAACGTTACGACTACAGTCCCCATGAATATGACACCTATGCCCACGACCATGACCCCCACGAATACGACCCCCTCGCCAATGCAGACCGTCCCCTGTCCGAATCAACTTACGAGTATGAACAGCATCAATTCCCCCAAGGGACAAACCCGAACTGGATCCCGCTTCGTCCGCACGTCCCCGCCGCAGACCAATTCGAGGCCGAGGCCGGCTCGCGCGGTCTGTCGGGCATGATGACCTTCACGGAGTCCGAGCGGGCGGCGGCCATGGCCCATCACGCGGATGATGCGCGGGACGATGCGATCGGCGGGGGTGTGGGTGCCCAGCGCATTCCCTCCCAGCCGAGGGAACGAGTCCCGTCCTCGTCGCTGGCGTTCTGGAAACGTGACTCTTCCCCGCCGGGCGGACTGCGCCCGGACCGGGAGACCCGGCGTCAGCGACGGCGGGAGCGGCTCGCGGCTGCGTTTGGCAGACATGGGGATGCGAACCGGGACAGCGCGGCGCAGGAGTTGCTCAGTGGGGATGCGTTGGCGAAGCTCTTGGGGTCCACGGTCGGGGATGAGGATTGCTTGAGTCATCTGGGTGAAGGGTCGCGCGACGGGCGCGATGAAGGAGCGGAGCAGGGGTACGGGCAGAGGCAGCGGAAGCGTCCTGTTATCGATGAGCAGCCGATTATGCTGGCGCCTATTGCGTTGGATGCGCCTAGGGGCGGGGCGCAAAGTAGGGTTGCGTCGGGAGCGCAGTTGGAGCAGGGCGTGGCGGAGGTGCGGCACCGCGGGGGTGGCTTTGGTGGAAATGGAGCGGAAGGGGACGGCGCGGAGGCTACGGATGGTATGCTCAGAAAGGAAGGGGACTGGGATGAGCGGAGTCGGGGGTCTCGGTCGACGGGTCGGGGGAGTGTGGCGGATTTGCCGTTCTGGAAGAAGTGGAGAGGCACGCTCATCTTCTTTGTGGTGCTGTTGGTGTTGGCGGCGATTGCTATCCCCGTGGGGATTATCATGGCGCGGAGGGCGGAGAATGGTGGGAGTTCCGCCAGTTCGGACGACGATAAGCCCGCGAATTCCAACCTCGATGGGATCAGTCGTGACAGTATTCCGGTAGGTGCTGTGACAGGGAGGCTCGCGACTCTGATGCTGACTTGTGTGTGATAGGCATACGCTCGAGGAACATACCTCGATCCGTTCACCTGGTACGATACAGAGGGCTTTAACGTCACTTTCACCAACGCGACCGTGGGAGGATTGTCGATCATGGGGCTGAATTCGACTTGGGATGATTCCGCCCAAGCGAACGAGAACGTCCCACCCCTGAACGAGTCATTCCCCTACGGCTCGCAGCCCATCCGCGGAGTCAATTTGGGTGGTTGGCTCTCCATCGAGCCCTTCATCGTTCCCTCGCTCTTCCAACCCTACTCCTCGAGCGAAGGCATCATCGACGAGTGGACCCTCTGCGAGCGCCTCGGCAGCGACGCCAACACGACCATCGAAAAACACTACGCCACCTTCATCACCGAGCAGGACTTCATCGACATCCGCGACGCGGGACTGGACCACGTCCGCATGCAGTTCTCCTACTGGGCGGTGCGCACCTACGACGGCGACCCCTACGTCCCCAAGATCGCCTGGCGGTATCTACTGCGCGCCATCGAGTACTGTCGCAAGTACGGACTGCGGGTGAATCTCGACCCGCACGGGATCCCCGGCAGCCAGAACGGGTGGAACCACAGCGGCCATCAGGGCAAGATCGGGTGGTTAAACGGCACGGACGGCGCCCTGAACCGCCAGCGGTCGCTCGACATGCACGACCAGCTGTCGCAGTTCTTCGCGCAGGACCGGTACAAGAACGTCGTCACGATCTACGGGCTGGCCAACGAGCCGCTCATGCTGTCGCTGCCCGTGGCGGATGTGCTGAACTGGACAACGCAGGCGACGGAGCTCGTCCAGAAGAACGGGATCAAGGCCTGGGTGACGGTACACGACGGATTCTTGAATCTGGCCAAGTGGGATAGTATGCTCAAGACGCGGCCCGACAATATGATGCTCGATACGCATCAGTACACCGTCTTCAATACGGGGGAAATCGTGCTGAATCACACGCGGCGCGTGGAGCTGATCTGCGAGAGCTG